TAAGAAATTGATTAAATTACCAGAGATTCTCACATGACTCTTATTGTATTTCTGGGCTATATCAGCCAATATGCTAAATGTAGTTTGAAGAGAGCAGAGTTGGAGAGACTTGCACTTTCTCTTGAGCTATTTTTATAGCCTACCTTTTAGGAGTGGGAAGATTTTCAGACAGAAATATGGGTGATCAATATTTAGGCCTGTTTCTAGGCAATGTAGTAAACTATAGCCTAATCATAGGCCTATTTAGGAAGTACATTTCCTTGGAAAGATAACTGCCACGTGCTTCTCGCCCATGCAGAGGATGGCTCATAACCATGTGTTTAATGTATTTGATACCATTCCATTTACTTAGCTCCAGCCGTTACCACGAGCCCGGCCTCCCCAATTAAGGTGCCACCAACCTCCTGTGCATAGGCTATAACCTACTTTATTTAATTGAGACCACACACACACCTGATCTTGCAGGTATGGCAACTGAACTGGAGGCAGCAAGAATGATGACACCGACACTTGCTACGTTTTGCATAGTCCTATAGGATATAGCCTACATTTTAGGAGGAAGATTTGCAGGCAGAGACAAATAAATGGGTCATCAATACTTACTTAAATAATAGCCTAACCTATGTGCGCATTGTGCCTTTTCCCTTTTAATGATGATTACATATTTTGATTGTACTTCGACTCAAGTTGGTTGGGCGCCCTCCACTTCTTTCCATTATCAATATTTATTTACAGACACTGTAGTAAACTACAGTCAAATCATATTTAAGTACATTTCATATTCAAGTTAACTGCCACGTGATTCTCCGCCCATGTAGGCAGCCACACATACTAGGCGCACTTGAACTTTCACGCACAACTAGGAGAGGTAGGCTACTGAAGTTGAAGCAGCGAATTCTGACTGTGTGAATAATGCGAAAAATATGTGATTTTGATACAATAGGTAGGATAATGCATACACAACAGAAAGAGGACTGTTTCCAAATAATCTGTTTGACAACAAAAATATTCCCGCGGGAATGCAGCCCTCTAGTGCAGTCAGTACACAACACTATGCTCATCATGTCTTAGCAGGATCAGATGGTGACAGGGGTCCCTGCAGGGTCAGGCAGCCAGGGAAGACCAGAGCTCAGGGGAATTTGCAGTATATTAACAATATCAGTGACTGATACAAAGTTCTATCTTGAATTGATGGATAGGGCTACAGTAGCTACAGGACAGCAGCTTAAGCTTAAAGCTACAGTCTGGGATCTGGGAATAAAGGTCATTTCAATTATTGAACCATTGATTCTATTCTTTGATAATATAATGTATAAATGTACACCAAGGTAATGCCTCATTTTAGGAGGATCAGATGGTGACAGGGGTCTCAACAGGTTCAGGCAGCCAGGAAATACCAGTCTATGACAGAGGTGAAGTGAATTTTTGCAGATACAACACTATTCTCTCTGTGCAGCAAACACTAGACAAGCCAGATGCTATTTTAAGACAGTCTGACAAACCTCCAAAGTTGATTTGCAAACTGTATCAAAGGTTGATAGAGGCTTTTCCTGATGACACAAAACATGTCAAACAAAAATGTGAGGAAGACCTGGGAGATGCTATTGATGATGATGAATGGATACAGATAGGTTAGAATGCCCAGTCGTATCATCTCAGAAATAAATTACTGCAGTTTAGGACCATCCATAGAATGTACTATATACCAGTGAAACTGAATTACATGCACTCCGAAATGTAATTCCTCTGCTGGAGGTGTAAAACAGAAAAGGGGACATATTTGCATATGTTATGGTCTTGTGAAGGCTGGAAGAATTCTGGCAAAGAGTATGTTCTTTTATCTCAGCATGTCTACAGATTCTCCATTCTCCCGTTTTGTTTGCTTGGAAATGTTGATACTGGAGACTGCTATCTGAAGAAACTGTGTAATCAAGCATTTATAGCGGCTAAGAAATGCATTGCCATTAATTGGAAGGTTGGTTATCCTCCCACAATGTCAAGTTATGTATCACTAGATTTGATTAATTACAAGATGAAGGGTATACTGGGCAACTTTCATAAGGTCTGGATGCCTTATGTGGAATACAGTACGACTAAATGAGTCTGTATTGAAAACATGTCCACGTCAGGGGAAATACCTATTTAGGAAATCCCTAGATGCTGGGCTGCTCAACCTGGCCCTGGGGGTCTGCCATCCTGTGGGTTGTCACTCTGGTCTTGGCCTAACACCCGAAATAATGAATGTTTCACTAAGATCCTAAAGCTGAGTGGGGTGTGTTGGGTTGGGGCGCTGCAGGGCGGTGGACCCTAGGGACAGGACAGGGCGACCCAGCTATATTGTGTGCAAGTAAAAAGAGCTCTACAGTACTATTAGTCCTATGAGATTAATTATATGGAGGATTTGCTGTTTCTGTGTGTTCATGTATATTTGAGGTGTATGTGTCTTTTGTTTTTTTTGTTCTTTGTTTCCAAATCTTTAAAAAAAATCTAAAGGTGTGAACTGGGAAGGAAATTGTGTTGGGACAGAGTTGATTTATTGACTAGACTGGTGGGGGTCGGCGTGCAGGTGGCTCAGGCTGGCTGGTCGGTCTGTCTGAAATTTGATATAGAGGATGTCTTAATAAAGACAATCAAAAGTCTTTGTGATTTTTTCAAGAGTTGTTCATTTGTTAGGCTATTGGTTAAAGGTTCAACACAATATTTATTATTGAATTTCCTATGATCTAGTTCAGTCTTATTAATCACCTACACATATTTAATAATGATCTCTTACCGAGCTTGATGACCGTGGAAATTTTTGCTTACTTTTTGTTCAAAATAGAGATGGCATATTGGATTGTGTAAAAATGCAAAATTCACAAAAAGTGATGTTAGCTGATGAAGATTAGCTCATAGAACAAAACAAGATCTCCTAAGCCTGTGTTTACCACAGACCTTATTTTCGGTGTTTATCCAAAAACCCTACAAAAATGCCATTCATTTCCCCATAAGCTTTGTCCAATTTACAAAAACATTAGCAAAAATACTTATTTAATATTTCTCTCTATAGCGCTTTGAAGCTAAGTCAGTTAAGATGGCGTCTCATGGAGTCAACATACGCTGTTTGAACTCACCCAGGAAGTGATGTTGTAGGCTAGTTCAGTGCTGCCGCCTCTGACCCCACTCATTGACTCAAGTCGAAGACCGACGGGGGTACTGCAGACAGCCATTAACAACAAAATTATCCTTATAACTTCTTCTGTGTGAGATTTTAAAATAATTGGTTCAAGGACATACATCTAGTGTATTAGAAGCAATTATTGGTACCATGATTGTCTTTGAAACATTTTTTTATTTACATGAAGATTGACATTTTTCCATTCACTATTGTGGTCCTCTGTAGCTCAGCTGGTAGAGCACGGCGCTTGTAACGCCAAGGTAGTGGGTTCGATCCCCGGGACCACCCATACACAAAAATGTATGCACGCATGACTGTAAGTCGCTTTGGATAAAAGTGTCTGCTAAATGGCATATTATTATTATTATTATAATGGGGAGTCCTGTTTTCTGCTAACAATGCCTGTAGTACCGGGGTCGGCCTTGAACTCCCATGGCTTGAATAAGAGGGGGCAGTAGTACTCCCCTGGTGAGGACATAAACTTGATTTGTAAACAAGAGAGTTTGCATTATTGAGGAGCAAGCTCACACTATGCCAACGTTACTATATTTGACCTGAAGAGGGCACTGTTAACCACTAACCAGTCTTCTCAGTTCCAAGCAAGTCAACATGTTGTGCTGTAAAGTGGTTTGGTTTCAAAGGGCTATTTGGGTCCCTTCAATTAAATATAGGTAAACATGTAGTAGTTGTTCTAACAGCCTTGCCTAAAAAGGACCCAACTGCAACTATAAGGCAATGTGAGATGGAGTGAAAGGTTGCCAGAGGTTTCATCAATGGTAACTTTACTTCCCACCAGCTACTAGTGTTAACAAGACCATGCAAACCTTAACCTTGTGTGAGATTTTTCCATTTAGTCTTTGAAAAACATATGTATTCTTTAGTAGACTATAGGTTGAAATGCTGTATGTCATCTGTGTCACACATTCCTACAGAGACAGACTGGCCATAGGGCAGTTCTGGCAAATGCCAGATGAGCTGGTCCATCTGTAGCACAGTGGGCCTTTCTAAGTTGGTGTTTTTGCACATAAGTATCATTATTTGGCTAATAATGGGGCCTCTGGAGAAAAAATGGGCCGGTGTGTTGGAAATGCCCAATTTCTGGTCCTAGTTGGTCCCTGCATCTCAATATGAAAACTTCTGAAAGTAATGTTTTTTTAAATTCATGAATAGGCCTATGCTTGTGAGGTTAATTTAGTTGTTTGGACTATGATGAGAGAATGCAGTCCTACTGGTTAGGTTCTTTAACCAGGTTATTTCCTGGTTATTTCCCAGCAATGGGGATAACACTCTATTGTCTGCTTTGCATGCCCAGATGCTGCTGCCAGATTCACTGGCAAGACTGCATTCTTAGAACATAGAGAGGACTGAAAAACCATTTCACCTTCTATAAGCAGGTAAACTTATTAAATACAAAAAAAAAAAAAAAAAGTGCACACCAAGGGCACATTTCACAGATCAAGCCCACTTCTGGACTAAAAATCATGCTAATTGAAAGTGCTTTCAGTGCAGGACTAGGCTTGTTTTTAATAGACGGCAACTAGCAGGACATAGATGTTTAAGTCATGTTCGATCCTACATTTTCCATCCTCTACAGTAGACAATCAAACATCATCAGATCATCTTTGAGATTATTGTTGATTGTCAAATAAAGGTCCCTCCACTGTAGTTGCTCCTCCTCCTTGTCTCGCTGCATTACTTGAATTTCTCTTAGAAAAAGAAGGGGAAGTGCACTGTGATGCACAAGGAAATAAACCAGCCTGTTTAAGTGAGTTCTCAGTACAGTACAAGGTGTACCAGTATAAAAGCTGTAGCTGTACATTGCTCCTTTACACTACTGGACAACATGAGGACCCTGCTACTTACAACCGTGCTGCTGGTGCTGCTCTGTAGCACACAAGGTGAGCAAACTTAATAAATATAGACTGGTTTATAAATACGTTTCTTTGAAATCACTGCAATGATAGGTGCAAGTCTTGGTTGAGGTGTGCTTTAAAAAAAGATATATATTTCAGGTCCAGGGCAAAATGATTGATATGTAGCCTATGTTGCATTATGTTGTTGAACTATGTTTGTCAGTGAAGGATCTTCAGTAACTTAGTAAAGGAATGAAAATACTCACCCTCCTCTTCATAGACTTACAACTAACTTTCTCATAACCAATTAATTTATTTCATAAGCTAATGATGATCCACACTTTAAGAATCCTATCATCACTTCTGCTCTAAATGTCAATTTCTCCACAGTGCTCACACTCAGGTGCTACACCTGTGATGAGGCTGATGCTGACTGCAAGCAAGAGACAGAATGTCCACCATCGAGCATGTACTGCAGAACTGTGGTGACTGGTAAATATTCCACTTGTCTTCTTTCATTCAGGTCTTTCAATCTCTATCAATAATATGTATGTATTATTAATCAACTGAGTGCAATAATCATCTGTAAATTGCTCAAACATTTTCTACTTCCTTATTTTCCTTCACAGCGGACACAGTGACTCGTACCTGTGAGGAGATATGTGCCTCGGGTGTCAACGTCTATTGTTGCCAGGGAGACCTGTGTGAGAACTGACATGATCCATGGAGAGCTATCATCACTGACTACACACTTTCACCTTCTGTTTAGATACAGTAGAATGTTGTGGGGGAAATACGTTAGAATATGGGAATACATTATAACCTTTTAATGAATTACATTTACATTTTAGCCATTTAGCAGACGCTCTTATCCAGAGCGACTTACAGTTAGTGCATTCATCTTAAGATAGCTAGGTGAGACAACCACATATGACAGTAATAACTTATTTATTGTGGAAAAATACTTATCAACAAAGTCACTGCTATTATTTGAGATAATCTTAACAAGACAAAACCTTATACTTTCTGTCATGCAAAAAAATCTATCCATATTTTGGGGTACAGCACGATTCAACTGTTTCTGCTGTCCTTCAATGGCTTGACTTAATGCCATAAAACTATGATATTCACAGACGTGGAGGTTTTACAGTAATGAGGATTTCCAATGCCTGAGCTGTGATGCTGGTGTGTCACTTTTATAAATTAATACTAAGAGGCGCCCTAGCCAGGCAGCTAGTGTAGCCTCTCCTAATCTCCTCTCTCTCCTGATGCTTCTGAGTGGGTCATGCTGGCTCATGGCCTCCTGCTGGGATGTGGGTCGCCAGACGATGACAATGCCTGCCTGTCGTAGCCGTATGCATCTGGGCAGGCAGGATTATCTAAATCCCTCCAATGCGGGGGAGTTATGGAGAACCTGTACCACTCACCTGGCAACTCAACTCCACTCTCCCTCCTGAAAAAAGTGCTTGATCATGGTGTAGTTTGCTTTATTGTTGAGAGATTAAAAACAAATAAAATAAAAGCAAGCGTATGTTTTTGATGGAGAAAAGAAGAAGACTTCACACATATAACATCCTCTTATTCTGCATAACTGTAGATAAGGCAAATGTTTAAATGTCGTCACTCAGCACACGTCAGTGCCCACTGGGCACAGACGTCAATTCAATGTCTATTCCATGTTGGTTCAACGTAATTTCATTGAAATGACGTGGAAACAACGATGATTCAACCAGTGGATGGTCTGTGGCTGGTCATCTTAATTAAACAGGGAAATATTGGTCACATCTAGATTTGTATTTATTTTCCAGCCATTATTTCCTTTTCCATTAGCGCTCCACATTTTTGAGATTGAGGATTTGTGGGTGTTAAAAATAACCCTGGAGCATTAGACAGACAACCTTCAGTCCTTTACACATCATGTGAAGGGTGTTTCATTCAATCCTCATAAAGGGGTCAGCATAACACACATCCCATGAACAAAAGAGCAAACGTTATCTCGGAAAACCTTGCTTTCTCTGATATAATAGGGCACTTTTATCAATTTATAGATGCCCAGAAAAGGCAGAAACTGATTTACAGTTTACAGAAACAGTACTCAAACTGATTAGAAATTGTGCATGAAAACAATACGTTATGATATGAATGGCATGTTTGGCATTCAACCAAATTAACTACATGTTACAGTGGGGAAAAAAAGTATTTAGTCAGCCACCAATTGTGCAAGTTCTCCCACTTAAAAAGATGAGAGAGGCCTGTAATCTTCATCATAGGTACACGTCAATTATGACAGACAAAATGAGAAAAAAAAATCCAGGAAATCACATTGTAGGATTTTTAATGAATTTATTTGCAAATTATGGTGGAAAAAAAGTATTTGGTCAATAACAAAAGTTTCTCAATACTTTGTTATATACCCTTTGTTGGCAATGACACAGGTCAAACGTTTTCTGTAAGTCTTCACAAGGTTTTCACACACTGTTGCTGGTATTTTGGCCCATTCCTCCATGCAGATCTCCTCTAGAGCAGTGATGTTTTGGGGCTGTCGCTGGGCAACACGGACTTTCAACTCCCTCCAAAGATTTTCTATGGGGTTGAGATCTGGAGACTGGCTAGGCCACTCCAGGACCTTGAAATGCTTCTTACGAAGCCACTCCTTCGTTGCCCGGGCGGTGTGTTTGGGATCATTGTCATGCTGAAAGACCCAGCCACGTTTCATCTTCAATGCCCTTGCTGATGGAAGGAGGTTTTCACTCAAAATCTCACGATACATGGCCCCATTCATTCTTTCCTTTACACGGATCAGTCGTCCTGGTCCCTTTGCAGAAAAACAGCCCCAAAGCATGATGTTTCCACCCCCATGCTTCACAGTAGGTATGGTGTTCTTTGGATGCAACTCAGCATTCTTTGTCCTCCAAACACGACGAGTTGAGTTTTTACCAAAAAGTTCTATTTTGGTTTCATCTGACCATATGACATTCTCCCAATCCTCTTCTGGATCATCCAAATGCACTCTAGCAAACTTCAGACGGGCCTGGACATGTACTGGCTTAAGCAGGGGGACACGTCTGGCACTGTAGGATTTGAGTCCCTGGCGGCATAGTGTGTTACTGATGGTAGGCTTTGTTACTTTGGTCCCAGCTCTCTGCAGGTCATTCACTAGGTCCCCCCGTGTGGTTCTGGGATTTTTGCTCACCGTTCTTGTGATCATTTTGACCCCACAGGGTGAGATCTTGCGTGGAGCCCCAGATCGAGGGAGATTATCAGTGGTCTTGTATGTCTTCTATTTCCTAATAATTGCTCCCACAGTTGATTTCTTCAAACCAAGCTGCTTACCTATTGCAGATTCAGTCTTCCCAGCCTGGTGCAGGTCTACAATTTTGTTTCTGGTGTCCTTTGACAGCTCTTTGATCTTGGCCATAGTGGAGTTTGGAGTGTGACTGTTTGAGGTTGTGGACAGGTGTCTTTTATACTGATAACAAGTTCAAACAGGTGCCATTAATACAGGTAACGAGTGGAGGACAGAGGAGCCTCTTAAAGAAGAAGTTACAGGTCTGTGAGAGCCAGAAATCTTGCTTGTTTGTAGGTGACCAAATACTTATTTTCCACCATAATTTGCAAATAAATTCATTAAAAATCCTACAATGTGATTTTCTGGAGAAAAAAAATCTCAATTTGTCTGTCATAGTTGACGTGTACCTATGATGAAAATTACAGGCCTCTCTCATCTTTTTAAGTGGGAGAACTTGCACAATTGGTGGCTGACTAAATACTTTTTTCCCCCACTGTATACAAATGAATTTATGAATAAAGCAGTGATTAAATTATTTGTTTCCTTTACCCATTGTGATCCAACAACTACATCACATATAGACATTTAGCGGCCTGGTATACAGCTTTCCATTATTGTTTTGATCTCTATTTTGAATCATAAGAGACACTGTTATTAAGCAGGCTTTATGATAAACCCATGCAGTTGCATAACTTACAGTAAAGAACAAAAGTCACCAGAATCAGCATAACCTTCATTTTAACAGGGAAGACATATTGAGACGTACAGTAGGTCTCTTTTACAAATGCTGTATATACAGTGCATTCAGAAAGTATTCAGACCCCTTGACTTTTTCCACATTTTGTTATGTTACAGCTTTATTCTAAAACTGATTAAATAAAAACATTTCCTAATCAATCTACACACAATACCCCATAATGGCAAAGCGAAAACAGGTTTTTAGAAATGTTTGAAAATTTAGAACGTAAAAAAAAAAAGTATTCAGACCTTTTCTATGAGACTCGAAATTGAACTCAGGTGCATCCTGTTTCCATTGATCATCCTTGAGATGTTTCTACAACTTGATTGGAGTCCACCTGTGGTAAATTCAATTGATTGGACATGATTTGGAAAGGCACACACCTGTCTATATAAGGTCCCACAGTTGACAGTGCACGTCAGTGCAAAAACCAAGTTATGAGGTGGAAGGAATTGTCCGTAGAGCTCCGAGACAGGATTGTGTCGAGTCACAGATCTGTAGAAGGGTACCAAAACATTTCTGCAGCATTGAAGGTCCCCAAGAACACAGTGGCCTCCATCATTCTTAAATGGAAGAAGTTTAGAACCACCAAGACTCTTTCTACAGCTGAGCAATCGGGGGAGAAGGGCCTTGGTCAGGGAGGTGACCAAGAACCCGATGGTCACTCTGACAGAGCTCCAGAGTTCCTCTGTGGAGATGGGAGAACCTTCCAGAAGGACAACCATCTCTGCAGCACTCCACCAATCAGGCCTTTACGGTAGAGTGGCCAGCTGGAAGCCACTCCTCAGTAAAAGGCACATGACAGCCCACTTGGAGTTTGCAAAAAGGCACCTAAAGACTCTCAGACCATGAGAAACAAGATTCTCTGATCTGATGAAACCAAGATTGAACTCTGGCCTGAATGCCAAGCCTCACATTTGGAGGAAACCTGGCACCATCCCTACGGTGAAGCATGGTGGTGGCAGCATCATGCTGTGGGGATGTTTTTCAGCGGCAGGGACTGAGAGACTAGTCAGGATCGAGGAAAAGATTAATGGAGCAAAGTACAGAGAGATCCTTGATGAAAATCTGCTCCAGAGCACTCAGGACCTCAGACTGGGGTGAAGGTTCACCTTCCAACAGGACAACGACCCTAAGCACACAGCCAAGACAACGCAGGAGTGGCTTCGGGACAAGTCTCTGAATGTCCTTGAGTGGCCCAGCCAGAGCCCGGACTTGAACCCGATCGAACATCTCTGGAAAGACCTGAAAATAGCTGTGCAGCGACGCTACCCATCCAATCTGACGGAGCTTGAGAGGATCTGCAGAGAAGAATGGGAGAAACTCCCCAAATACAGGTGTGCCAAGCTTGTAGCGGCATACCCAATAAGACTCAACGCTGTAATCTCTGCCAAAGGTGCTTCAACAAAGTACTGAGTAAAGGGTCGAAATACTTATGTAAATGTGATATTTCCATTTCTTTTATAAATTTGCAAAAATGTCTAAAAACCTGTTTTTGCTTTGTCATTATGGGGTATTGTGTGTAGATCAATGAGGGGAAAAAACGATTTAATCAATTTTAGAATAAGACTGTAACATAACAAAATGTGGAAAAGGTCAAGGGGTCTGAAGACTTTCCGAATGCACTGTACACAACATAAATACACACATTAAGGGTGGAGAAAATGACTAGGGGTAAATAAGCTGACAGTTGTTAAGGCCCCCTGCTGTGTTGAGTGGTGGGTGTCTGGGAGGGAGAGTGCTTGGCCAGGGAGAGAGTAAAGTGAGGATATTGTACAGTAATGTAAGAGTACATACTACAGTCTCGCCTGTCTAGGATCAATATATTGAATCACAGCAGGGTCTATAACATTAACATGCACCGCACTGGTTGTCTATATTGGGAAGTCCACATCATTTACATTTTAGTCATTTAGCAGACGCTCTTATCCAGAGCGACTTACAGTTAGAGTGCATACATTATTTTTAATATGGCCCCCCTTGGGAATCGAACCCACAACCCTGGCGTTGCAAATGCCATGCTCTACCAACTGAGCTACATCCCTGCCGGCAATTCCCTCCCCTACCCTGGACGACGCTGGGCCAATTGTGCGCCGCCCCATGGGTCTCCCGGTCGCGGCCGGCTACGACAGAGCCTGGCCAAGTGTGGAAGAGCACGCTATGTAGGCTACTACTGTATGAACTCATGATTTAGTAACGCTGCTCTGCTCATTTCAGGTTAGGAGAAGGGGAAAGAGATCAAATGCACTTAACTTAAGCTGTGATATGGACTACTTCTTTAATCATGCAGAAAGAATCAAAAGAAAAGGAAAGAGAGAGAGGGGAGGAGAGAGAGACAGAGAGAGAGAGAGACAGCGAGAGAGAGAAGATCACTTGACTGGCACTCTTCTCCTGTAGGATTTTCTGAACACTAGTTCACACCCCAAAAACTGTGTTGAATTGAGACTTTTATAAGAATCAGATTACATTTTCAACTATTCCTTTTATGCAGTATTCAACAATGTCCCCTTTCCATTGAGCTTTAATAGAAGGTAGCATTTCCTCATGGAGTTGTGGGATAGCCAACTGTGGTAATACTGTAGAATTAATACTATAAGAGTAATGCATTTATGAAATGGCAGCTTACCAAGATTTTTCAATTTAAATAATACCCATTTACATATCTTTGTAACACTCTGGCTCCGGGACTTTTGTATTTGAGCCAGGGTGTATTGTGTTTTGTTGGGTTTTGGGTGATTTTCTATGTTTGCATTTCTGTCACGTTTATTTCTAGGTTTGGTCATTGACTCCCAATCGGAGGTAACGAGTGTCAGCTGTCGGCTCGTTATCTCTGATTGGGAGCCATATTTATACTGCATGTTTTCCTGTGGGCATGGTGGGTTATTGTTCCTGTTTAGTCTTTGTCACTATTGGACTTCACATTCGTCGCTTTGATTTGTTGTTTTGTCGTGCTTTAACTTAATAAAGTACCATGTTCGTTTCACACGCTGCGCCTTGGTCTCCTTCACTCCTCGACGATCGTGACAGAATAACCCACCAAAGAAAGACCAAGCAGCGTGTCCAGGAGCAGGGAGACTGGACATGGGAGGAGGCACCGGGCAAGGAGATAGAGAGGCTGGCGATGGCCCAGGTGGGCACATCGTGGTCCTGGGAGGACATGCTCGGAGGCAAGGGACCTTGGGGAAGGATCAAGGCCCTGGCGAGAGAGGAGCAACGGCGGCAGCAGGGCCATCGTCGGAGGGTCGTGTGTCAACCCCAGAAAATTTTTAGGGGGGGGCACACGGCATGGACGACGGGGCTGACGGAGGAGAAAAGGGGGAGTATCCAGGAGGCCACCAGGCCAGGGGTACACCGCCCTGTACGTCCTGTGCTGATGCCTCACACAGAGTGTGTGAGGGTAGGCATTCAGCCAGGACGGGTGGTGTCCGCTGTTCACTCCAGGCCTCCTATCCGTCTCCACAGCCCGGTCCGGCCTGTTCCTGCCACCCGCACCAGGTCTACGGTGTGCGTCGCCAGCCCGGTCCGGCCTGTTCCTGCCACCCGCACCAAGACTACGGTGCGCGTCGCCAGCCCGACCCGGCCTGTTCCTGCCACCCGCACCAGGTCTACGGTGTGCGTCGCCAGCCCGGTCCGGCCTGTTCCTGCCACCCGCACCAAGACTACGGTGCGCGTCGCCAGCCCGACCCGGCCTGTTCCTGCCACCCGCACCAAGTCTACGGTGCGCGTCGCCAGCCCGACCCGGCCTGTTCCTGCCACCCGCACCAAGACTACGGTGCGCGTCGCCAGCCCGACCCGGCCTGTTCCTGCCACCCGCACCAAGACTACGGTGCGCGTCGCCAGCCCGGTCCGGCCTGTTCCGGCCACCCGCACTAAGTCTACGGTGCGCCTCAGACGGCCAGAGTCTGCCGTCTGCCCAACGGGGCCTGAACTGCCCGTCTGCCTAAAGCCTGCAAAGCCGCCCGTCTGCCATGAGCCATCAGAGCCGTCCGCCAGACCAGAGCCGCTAGAGCCTTCCGCCAGACAGGATCAGCCAGAGCCTTCCGCCAGACAGGATCAGCCAGAGCCTTCCGCCAGACAGGATCAGCCAGAGCCTTCCGCCAGCCATGAGCAGCCAGATCCGTCGGCCAGCCATGAGCAGCCAGATCCGTCGGCCAGCCATGAGCAGCCAGATCCGTCGGCCAGCCATGAGCAGCCCGATCCGTCAGCCAGCCATGAGCAGCCAGATCCGTCAGCCAGCCATGAGCAGCCAGATCCTTCAGCCTGCCATGAGCCGTCCAGCCAGGATCCGCCAGAGCCAGCCAGCCAGGATCCGCCCCTTAGTCAGGTACTGTCCCTTAGTCCGGTGCTTCCCCTTAGTCCGGTGCTGCCCCTTAGTCCGGTGCCGCCCCTTAATCCAGTGGGGTTTAATTGGGGGGTGGTCATGTGGAGGAGGCTAGGGAAGCGGGTGGTGACTAAGGTGGGGTGGGGACCACGACCAGGGCCAGAACCGCCACCGTGGACAGACGCCCACCCAGACCCTCCCCGAGACTGTATGCTGGTGCGCCCGGAGTGCGCACCTTTAGGGGGGGGTACTGTAACACTCTGGCTCCGGGACTTTTGTATTTGAGCCAGGGTGTATTGTGTTTTGTTGGGTTTTGGGTGATTTTCTATGTTTGCATTTCTGTCACGTTTATTTCTAGGTTTGGTCATTGACTCCCAATCGGAGGTAACGAGTGTCAGCTGTCGGCTCGTTATCTCTGATTGGGAGCCATATTTATACTGCATGTTTTCCTGTGGGCATGGTGGGTTATTGTTCCTGTTTAGTCTTTGTCACTATTGGACTTCACATTCGTCGCTTTGATTTGTTGTTTTGTCGTGCTTTAACTTAATAAAGTACCATGTTCGTTTCACACGCTGCGCCTTGGTCTCCTTCACTCCTCGACGATCGTGACAATCTTAAGCTGAAGAAAAAAAGGATGTAGCGTGCATATCACATTAACATCAAAACCCAATTAAACAAAGAGCTTCCAGGATTTCTCAGAAGTTGACTGAGAATCGGCTTATCCAGGCACCATTTCTTTAGAATTAATTCCTGATCGTTTACAGAAAATAGGAAATGACTAGTTTGCAAATGTGAATGATATGAATAATAGACTTCTGATAATATAGCTGATCACAAAGCTAATGTCTTCACTATTTGCAGGGGCGCAACTTTGGTTTTAGAAGTGTGGGGACATAACTTTATTATTATTATCCCAAAGAAATGTGGGTCGGATAAACACTCCAAACAGCCTACCCGACCGCTCGGAGGCGTCCGCATGGTCCTAAAGCACACCGTTGCCTCGTTTTGTATCACATTCCAATGATAAAACTGGGGGGGATAAAAATGCAATTTCTGAATGTGGTGGGGACATGTCCCCCCCCGTCCCCAGTGAAAGATGCGCCCCTGACTATTTTAACTGTTGTGGAGGTCAAAGAGCAGCAGCACAGTCAAATGAGCTCAAGCCTTTTCAGTAGTATTATGAAGGTCATGATATGGTACCAAAAGAGGAATTGACTCTGTGCTTCTGAAATACTGAACAAAGCTATCCATCCCTAACATACCTATTAAAAGAAGGACATACGTCAGCAATATGCATAAGCTGAAAGTGGAAAACATCACACCATTATGAATTCAATACCTCTAAAACACCAGTCACGTCATTCAGTAGTACCACTGAAATAACCTATGAAAGCATGGACCCAGCAACATTGACTTTCTTTCCATCCCATGGCTTAATCCAGTATTCTGGTACTCCAGTGAGGGGTTTCTTTTGTGAATGAGTGAGGTATCTTTGGTCTAATGGAGTAATGGTCCCTCCTTCTATTGGATTATGGGAGGGGTGTGGTATTGTGGTATTAATCTGAGCAGACAGCAGGCAGGCAGCCTGCCCTGGACTAGTGGAGGGCTGTTGTGTCTCTGACGGAGTGACTCCACAGCACAGCTCTCTACAGCTCTGTCCAGTCCACACCGCTCTCTACAGCTCTGTCCAGTCCACACCTCTCTCTACAGCTCTGTCCAGTCCACACCACTCTCTACAGCTCTGTCCAGTCCACACCGCTCTCTACAGCTCTGTCCAGTCCACACTGCTCTCTACAGCTCTGTCCAGTCCACACCGCTCTCTACAGCTCTATCCAGTCCACACCGCTCTCTACAGCTCTATCCAGTCCACACCGCTCTCTACAGCTCCAGGGGAAAGAGACCGGTATAGTTTCTCCTCTCCACAAAGATGAACCTTTTCTGCTTCTCTCTGGTAAGGCTCAACTTTATTTTTCTACTTCTCCTCAGTGTAGGGCTTCCCTCTCTCTCAGACGTGTGTGTGTGTGTGTTGAAGAGGGGCTGATCTGTTCCTAAAATTAGAGCGGATTGAGAAGCACACTGGCGTAGCAGCCTCTCCCCCCCCCCCCCCCCCCCCCCCCCCGCAGCCCCAGCAACATTTTCTCTAAGCCGCATGGCAAAATGCGTAAAATAGCATGAGATTAGCTATACAACTGCACATTTATGTCTCTGCCCCATGGCAAAATAAATTCCAACAAAATGGGGGGGGTCCTTGTTCGAACCTTGGGAGGGGCCCCGCGAAACTGCACCGCGCCACTGGAGAGGCATGGCTTGATTTGGTGGTGGATTTGAGCCCAGCGGGACAGAAACGGACTAGGATTTCTGTGGGGCTTTACTTCAGTGTCTTTTGATGAATTTTATGGTGCTATAAAATCTCCTTTTAAAATAGCGGTTTTAGTCTTTATAAGCAGTGCAATTGTGTCTTCTACTGTACATTTCTGTGATTGTGTATGGAAGCAACTAAGTGATGCTATTACAGTACTGTTACACTAGAGAGTAGCTTTGGCGTGTGGTTTTTTAGATGACCGAAATATGGGAGATTTCATAGATTTATAGAAAGGAAATAATCCCAAGCACAACTGTATTAGAGGAGTATGTAGCTGGAGCCTACCAAGTCCTCACCTTGGCCAGATGCTGGGGATGTTGAACACAGTTCAGGATTATTGACCGACTTGTCCTCAGAACTGATCCATGGTCAGCAGGTTGAAGAAGCGTGATTGCAGCGTTGTTGTTTCTGTTGTTATTCACCATCACGTGTATCAGGATCTACTGCATAATAGTTCACAATACATAGTAGTGGCCCAGATGTAATGGATCAAGACAGTTCTACAAGTGCTGCTGACAGATTGTCTTTTTACACTGAACTAAAATATAAACGCAACATGCAACAATTTCATAGATTTTACTGAGTTACAGTTCATATAAGGAAATCAGTCAATTGAAATAAATAAATTAGGCCCTAATCTATGGATTTCATGACTGGGAATACAGATATGCATCTGTTTGTCACAGATACCTTAAAAAGAAAGTAGGGGCGTAGATCAGAAAACTAGTCAGTATCTGGTGTGACCACCATTTGCCTCATGCTGGGCGACACATCTCCTTTGCATAGAGTTAATCAGTCTGTTGATTGTGGCCTGTGGAATGTTGTCCCACTCCTCTTCAATGGCTGCGCGAAGTTGCTGGATATTGGCGGGAACTGTAACACGCTGTCGTACAAATCGATCCAGAGCATCCCAAACATGCTCAACGGGTGACATGTCTGAGTATGCAGGCCATGGAAGAACTGGGACATTTTCAGCTTCCAGGAATTGTGTACAGATCCTTGCGACATGGGTCTGTGTCTTATCATGCTGAAACATGAGGTGATGGTGGCGGATGAATGGCACGACAATGGGCTTAGGATCTCGTCACGGTATCACTGTGCACTCAAATTGCCATCGATAAAATGCATTTGTGTTCGTTGTCCGTAGCTTATGCCTGCCCATACCATAATCCCACAGCCACCATGGGCACTCTGTTCACAACGTTGACATCAGCAAACTGCTTCCCACACGACGCCATACACACTGTCTGCCATCTGCCTGGTAGAGTTGAAACCGGGATTCATCTGTGAAGAGCACACTTCTCCAGCGTGCCAGTGGCAATCAAAGGTGAGCATTTGCCCACTGAAGTCGGTTATGACGCCGAATTGCAGTCAGGTCAAGATCCTGGTGAGGACGACAAGCACGCAGAGGAGTTTCCCTGAGACGGTTTCTGACAGCTTGTGCAGAAAATCTTCAGTTGTGCAAACCCACAGTTTCATCAGCTGTCTGGGTGGCTGGTCTCAGACTATCCCGCAGGTGAAGAAGCCGGATGTGGAGGTCCTAGGCTGGCGTGGTTAGACATGGTCTGTGGTTGTGAGGCCAGTTGGAGGTACTGCCAAATTCTCTAAAACGACGTTGGCGGCTTATGGTAGAGAAATGAACATTCAATTCTCTGGCAACAGCTCTGGTTGGCATTGCTGTATTCAGCATGCCAAGTCCACACTCCCTCAAAACTTGAGACATCTGTAGCATTGTGTTGTGTGACAAAACTGCACGTTTTAGAGTGGCCTTTTATTGTCCCCAGCACAATGTGCACCTGTGTAATAATCATGCTATTTAATCAGCTTCTTGATATTGTCACATCTCCTCCCGTTGCTCCCCTCCGGCGCTCTGATTTGCCGGTCTACTGAGCCACCGGTCTGAGCGCACCACCTCGGCAACACCGGAATGGAAACCCAACGCACCCTAATCACCTCCTGCACCTCATCATCTCATCACCACCCCTATATAGCCCTGGACTGTTCAGTGTTGTGTTGTGTGTGATTGTTAGTGTCTTGTCGTGTACTCGCTCTTTGTTGTTCTCTTGCTCAGTGTTAAGTAAACCTTTACATTGTTGATTCCTGCATCTGTGTCCTGCCTCTTCGTATCCTCAGTACTCGTCACAGATATGCCACACCTGTCAGGTGGATGGATTATTTTGGCAAAGGAGAAATGCTCACTAACAGGGATGTAAACAAATTTGTGCACAACATTTGGGAGAAATACATTTTTTGTGCGTATGGAACATTTCTGGGATTTTTTATTTCAGCTCATGAAACATGGGACCAACACTTTACATGTTGCGCTTATATTTTTGTTCAGTGTAGAAATAATTCAATCAAGAGATGGTAATCCATAGAGATATCTGATCAAATCTTATTAACCTTCCCCCAAGAAGCAAGCAATCTCAAACAGGTTCTTGTTGCTAGACTAGCCCAGCAGTCTACAGCGTGTCCCTGATTGTGTCCCTGATTTTGTGTGTGTGTGTGTGTGTGTGTGTGTGTCCAGGAGGGTTCTATGGACAGTCTGTATGAGGCTGTGCAGGACTCCAGTGATGCCCAGGTCTACACCATCCCCTGCCGTTCCTCCAGCCGCTCCTGTAGCCTCGCCGTGCTGCTGGATGAAAACCCCAAGTGGCATGGCTCGGGACGATCCATCTCCATGGTGATTACACACACACACATATGCATTGTGCACAAACGCATGCACATACCTATGCAAATGCATGCATACGCACGCACACATATACACACACACAAACGCACACACTTTGTACCCTTAGATTGAGTTTTCATTGGGAAGTCAATTTTCCAGAATTAAGATCTTGACCTTGAATAGACCAAATGCTAAAAGCTGTAGCTCCTCTTCTCTGTGCGCCCAACATACTCACTGATAAGCGCATTCATGGCAGGAAATTGTCAACTGTATAGTTGATCATTTATTTAATGCCATGCCATGGGTATAAGTTATCCATCTGGACAAACCAGAGCTAAATCTTGTGGGGTACCTGTTCTCGCAGGAGTTGAGACTTGTGGTCTGCCAGAGGATCAGATTGGACCCAAACAATAAAGCTGATTATGAAATTATGATGATGAAAACAATCCATTGACAGCTGGTCCTAAAGGCATTAACCATCAGCCGCCAATCCAATCTGTTCTGCTAAGATGGCATGGACATCACAACCAATATTTTTGTCATATTTATGCAAACGTTTTCATGCCAATAGGCAAACTCTTCCACTTTTAAGCATGTAGAATCAAAGATTAATAATGTTCTCTTTTGCTTTCAGGAGATCTCCCAAATGCAGAACAACAACACCAAAAATAAGAAAAGAATGTGAGTTTGTCATACTTTGTTCAGATCTGTTTCTATTGACAGAGTGTGCGTGCAGGGCATTGTATCCATAATAAAAAGCGCAGTGAAAGTGGAGAAGCCCTGAGCTCAGCCTTTAGTCAGTAGAGTAAAATGGCTCCAAAGGCGCTCTATCCTCCCAAGGGATAATACTTTAAGTCGCAACTCTTTACCAAGCTTCCTGCCTTTCTGCCCCTATGTAGATTTCACACTGTAAGCCCCCAAGCATCTGTCTATTTAGACAATGCTATCTAAAGCAAAAGATTGGGAAGGAATGAACATCACAATCCAAATCAATTACACACAGGAAAATGTCATTTTCATTTCGGTGTCACCTGTCAAACCAATGTGATCAGATGAAGAGGAGCCCCTGTTATGTTGGTTGCCAAGAAAGCAGGAGGTGCAGGGTTCTGTGCTAGTTTGAGTACAAGTTTCAGTCAAGTCTCATTCAACACCTTTAGCTTTTCTAATTGATGTCCCACTGCAAAATCTACACAAGCAGCGCTTAAGAGCAATCTCTATGACCTTTATGTTTTTAGACAGCTATAAACTACAAAGAGAAATGTTGAACCACAACAACTTACATGATTGAACTATATGGGAATTCTCTCTCACTTGAAGACATAGCAGGACTTTCTTTAAATACATATACAGTGCCCTCCACTATTATTGGTACCCCTGTTTAAGATGTGGTCGAGGACTTCCAAAATCATTTTTTTTTTAACAACATAGAACCCAAATGCAAAAAAAGAGAAAAATCCAACCTTTTATTTAAGTACATTACTTTGGTGGTAAAAAAAAAAATCACACATTTAGAAAAAAAAAAACTTGAAATCATGTGTCCCACAATTATTGGCACCCCTAACAATTCCGCTGAAAAATTTTATTGATTTTTTAAAAAATATATTTTTCTGTAGTTGCTAAAGTTGGTCAGGGTATCTAGGAACTTTTAATTAGTAATTCATGACTTCCTGTTTCCCTGGGGTATAAATATGACGTGACACAGAGGCCTAATTCTCCTACCCATTTGTCAACATGGCAAAGACAAGAGAACACCATTCAAGTAAGGCAGATTTGTGTCGACCTTCATAAGTCAGGCAATGGCTACAAGAAAATAGCCACTCGCCTTAACTTGCCCGTATCTACAGTCAGAGGAATCATTAAGAAGTTTAAAACAACTGGAACAGTGACAAACAAGGCTGGAAGAGGTCCCAAGTTTATCTTGCCACAACGCACAGTGAGGAGGATGGTAAGAGAAGTAAAAAAAAGTCCTAAGCTCACTGTCACAGAATTGCATCAAAGAGTGGCATCTTGGGGTCACAAAGTCTCCAAAACAACCATCAGACGCTCTCTACATGCCAACAAGCTGTTTGGGAGGCATGCAAGGAAAAAGCCTTTTCTCACTAACACTCACAAACGTAAACGTCTGGAGTTTGCTAAGCGGCACTGGGACTTCAACTGGGATCGTGTGCTTTGGTCAGATGAGACTAAGATTGAGCTTTTTGGCAACAAACACTCTAAGTGGGTCTGGCGTAAAACAAAAGATGAGTATGCCGAAAAGCACCTCATGCCCACCGTGAAGTATGGTGGAGGATCTGTGATGCTGTGGGCCTGTTTCTCTTCCAAAGGCCCTGGGACCTTGTTAGGGTGCATGGCATTATGAACGCTTTGAACTACCAGGACATTTTAAATAAAAACCTGATGGCCTCTGCCAGAAAGCTGAAGATGGGTCGTCATTGGGTCTTTCAGCAGGATAATGATCCAAAACATGTGGCAAAATCTACACAAAAATGGTTCAGCAGTCACAAACTCAAGGTCCTCCCATGGCCATCTCAGTCCCCAGACCTCAACCCAATCGAAAACCTGTGGGGCGAGCTAAAGAGGAGAGTGCATAAGAGAGGACCCAGGACACTGGATGATCTAGAAAGATTGTGCAAAGAAGAATGGTCAAAGATCCCTCTCTCTGTGTTCTCCAATCTTGTGAAATGTTATAGGAGGAGATTAAGTGCTGTCTTGTTGGCAAAAGGGGGTTGTACAAAGTATTAACATCAGGGGTGCCAATAATTGTGGGACACATGATTTAAAGTTTTTTTTTTTTTCTAAATGTGTGATTTTTTTTTTTACCACCAAAGTGGTTGGATTTTTCTCTTTTTTTGCATTTGGGTTCTATGTTGTTTTAAAAAAAAATGAGAATTTTTGGAAGTCCTCGACCACATCTTAAACAGGGGTGCCAATAATAGTGGAGGGCACTGTATAGCAGTAGACCACAATATGGTTCACAGCCCTTTGTTAAAACAATTGTGTTGTGGTTAGACTGGGGATTAAAACAATATCCACTTAAAATATAGTCAGATCTACTGCAAAGATCCCTAGGACTTGCTGACTTAAGTGCACTGTATCCCTTTGGGTCAATCAGGCTGTTGAAATGGCAGATTGTGGCTTTAATCCTGACATTTTTCTGCCCTTTTATTTCAGAACACATGTATCCAAATCAGCATCAGAAAACAGAACTTTAGGTATGTATAATAAAGGTCTGCTTGTGTGGTGTACTTGATGGACTCCCGAGTGGCTCTGTCGTAGCCGGCCGCAACTGGGAGACCCATTGGTCCAGGGTAGGGGAGGGAATGGCCGGCAGGGATGTAGCTCAGTTGGTAGAGCATGGCGTTTGCAACGCCAGGGTTGTGGGTTCGATTCCCACGGGGAAAATAAAATAAAAAGATAATGTAAGTCGCTCTGGATAAGAGCGTCTGCTAAATGACTAAAAATGTAAATGAAGACTTAATGATATACTGTACCACTAAGAACAAAAATATATTTTTCATTTAACCCTTATTTTACAAGGTAAATTGACTGAGAACACAGTCTCATTTACAGCAACGATATGGGGAATAGTTACAGGGGAGAGGAGGGGGATGAAATGAGCCAATTGGAGGCTGGGGATGATTAGGTGGCCATGATGGCCAGATTGGGAATTTAGCCAAGACACCGGGTTTAACACCCCTACTCTTACGATAAGTGCCATGGATCTTTAGTGACCACAGAGAGTCAGGACACCCGTTTAACGTCCCATCTGAAAGACAATCAATCAACAGTTTAGCATTAGCCAGACATACAATTTCAACCAAATAGTCAAACCTGAGCAATGCACAGACAAACAGTTAAATTACCAAGAGAGCATTACACCAAAACCTCTCTGGATGTTTTTGTGCTGAATTAGGTAAAAAGATCATTGGCACTTAGTAGGAGTCTACTACAGTATTTTGTAGCAATTTTTTTTGGGGGGGGAGGACACATTAAACTCTCATTGCCAGCCATGGTTACTTGCTTGGCTGTCTGTGGTACTTAGGGCCTCCATTTTGTTTTCACTGTGGTGTGCCCTGACCTTGGTCAGCCAAATAAACCCCTTAATGGTTTTGATTTCTCTCCCTGCAGATCATGCCGCTGCCGGCTGCAATACTACTCTCTGGCTGCCCGCCAAAGTCCCTCCAGAAGAAGATTTAGATTTAGTCCACATCAAGAACAATCAAAACGAAGGTAAATTGTCTGGGGATTTTGAGGTTAAGCTGATCTATTCGCTTGCGTTCATCTGGACACTCCACCACATGGGCTCTGGCTGTGGCGTCGCTTGAGTGTAGCCTACAGTTTTCAAGTGTCTGAAGAGATTCCCATAGCATCCAAATCCCTCTTACGGAGAGTGTTGTGCAGACTGGAGCTTGGCTGTCAGGCCTTGGATTAATTAAGTGCCAGCAGGATATTAGTGTAGTAACACTGGGGGCAACTCTGGGCATGTGTAATTTAGTCAGTGTACTACAGTACATGAGGTTGTGGTGGGGGCATTGCATTAGTGTGTAGTACATGAGACACAGGGTAGACTTCACTGCATAATACTGAAACTGAATGTGATTATGAATGGATACAAGACATTACATCTCAGAATAAAAGTCCCAATCACAGTGCTGTATTGGAACATTACCTATCAGGGTTTAGGAGTTTAGTGAGACTTCTGACTGGTGTGATTCTGTGGTTCAGAGATGGTCAAGCCCATGGTCAGAACTGAGGTCCAGGCCAACGCCACGATCAGGACCAAAAGGGGAAGAGGAGGACGCAAGTCGAGAAGAAAGAAAAATGAAAAGCCACCAACTCAGGTTGGGAAAAAGAACTGTCCCTTATTTTGTCCAGTACCTTGAGCTATTTTCCCCTATCAATTTTTTCCAAAACTTGACTTAATTCATTGTTTCTTTCTTTTGTTGTATGTAGGTGGTGAGTTCCGAGGGGTGGGCTCAGAACCCAGATCGGCCCAACAGCAGACAGAGAGACCTGGTGAGTGATCGGCCCAACAGCAGACCCCATGCTGCCCATCCCATGCCAGCCCAGAGTCTTACAGTCTTATAATGATATGGCGGTCTGCCTGTTTTTCCATCCAAAGAGCCTCTTGGCCTTAAATTGGGCAATCACTTAACACAAATGCTGATTGAATTTTAATACTGTACAGATGGCTCAGCTGGGAGAGGGGTACCACTATGCCCCCATAATCTTTGGGCCACATGGCAAAGAGGGGTGGGTTGTTGGGGTGGCACCAGGGGAGTCCCTACTCTCACTAATTCACAGTGAGGACCAGATATGGTATTGCTTGCCAATTGTGTGGGAGTGGATCCACATTTGGCCACTCAGCCTCTCTCAGTCCCTGTGTTGGCAGCTTGGCACAGAGGCTAACAAGACTAGTGCAGTGTGCTGATATCCTAAAATGGGATTTGGACACCAGTAGTGCCAGCATCTCACCCAGAGAAAATGCATGGCTAGCTGTTCATAATACTAATGGGTAAAATCACCATAATCACACGACTGAGCTTTTTGAACCTGACAATAGCTAGGTTTCCATCCAATTGGCGACAGATTTCCACGCGAATAGGCTACTCTAAAATCCGCATTAAGAAAATATGCACATTTTTCCACCAGTGGCGTTTCCACCTAATTGACTTTTTGCGGATAGAAATCAGTGCATGATGACGTATTGCACACAAAATGTACTTTTTTCTCTTAAGTTTTTATGTACCGAATAAAAATCTAAACTTCAAAATGTTTCCATCACATTTTCAACTCCTACCTATAGTTTTGTCACAAACGCTGTTGCGTTAAATAGCAAATGTGCCTACTCTGGTCTTGGCACGTGCGCTCTAGCCAACCGCTCGCAGATCCATTGCGGGTAGGCTGTGTGGGTCTACATCAGTGGTTCCCAAACTGTGGGGTACACCCCAAGGTTTTTTTTTGTTGATGTAGGAACTCTTGAAAGTTGTAATAGTAGAATGCACAAGGTGCAGTTTTCCTCTTGTTATGTCAGTCATTGCATACCTTAAAGAGCTATTCAGAACTTCAACTAGCCCATGTCAGCTAACTTTTTTAGCCCATAGATTTTGTTGTCATGTTTGAGTCACTCAAATATCACATGAATAAACATTAGACATGGTAAAAGGTATAGAATTGAATGAAAAGTAGCTTTAAAACGGCAACATTTTCTCTTACCCCATGACAAAATGTGTAGAATTGCAGGGAATAAGCTTTAAACCTGCAACATTTTCTCTCCTCCAACAAGAGGGGTGTGAACAGTTTGAGTCATGAACAGTGCTTTTGCCCATAGAAATAGGCGTGGGAGGCACGGGATGTTCCCCAATGCTGGAAGGGGGGCCTGAGTGAAAAAGGTTGGAAACCCCTGGTCTACATGATGAGATTATTATGGATAAGAGCGAGAATATTTTTGTTTGTTAAATGGCAGTCAAGCATCGATCATCATGTCACCAGAATAAAACCCTCAATGTTTATTGGAAAGGAGCATGAATATCACAGTGAACTTACCACCCTCTGATGTTCATCAAACTTATTTCAGCTGTAGCCAAATAAACTGCAGTTTCCCGAGTCGTAGTGGGATGAGGACCACACACCATATCATCGCGTTACTCCAAGTTTACTTCGATATGATTATTATTATATCAATATTTGCGCATAAAGGCGTTTCCACCGGTATTTCTGGCATTATTAATTTGACCAACACAGAAAGATCCCACCATGTCGAACGAACAAATGATCTGTCGTGATTTATAGAATTGTACCGAAACTTCCTGTTTCCATCACAGCTGTCGTCATTTTTAAAAATACGGTATGACTTTACTCTGATAAAAACTGTGGATGAAAACGTGGTTATTGACACCGAGGTAAAGACAGTTTCAGGTTCCTCCATAACGGACATGTTTTTATTATGTGTTTGATTTTTGTGACACTCCAGATTGTCCATGCCAACGGGGAAGTGGCCAAGCCCAGAGTGCCAATCAAAAAGAGTCAAAAGCATGGGAGTCAGAAGACTGGGAATAAAGGAAGTGCAAAAACTGGAAAAGAAGAGGCCAAGAAAAATCAGGACACCACACGGAATAAGGAACTCAGAAAATCTACCACAGACAATGAGACTTGTGGTATGACAAAACATGTGTTCTATACAATTTTGATGAATGTCCATATTTGTCAGATGTTAATTTCTGTAGCCTTCTTCTCCGGTCACCACCCAGCAGGGCCCATCCCAGTGATAGAAGGACCCTATCTGGATGTGGTCCGGAGGTCAGCTCCTGGTTGTGAGTCTGTACTACCATCAGCCCAGGAGAATGCTACCCTAGCCCCGGTGGCCATGGAGCTGAGGACTGGGCCTGGAGTCCCTGGAGCTCCTCCCAGGAACCAGCGCTGGAGTAACCCAGCCGAGAACACTCCGGATTGGGGAACGTCCTACCACATCTGCCGCAGGCCCCTCACAGAGTACCCCGTTTATGCCAATGACTACACTCTGCCCCGGGCCAAGGACTGGGCCAAGCACCAGGGGCTGGCCCAAGATGGGAGCCTGAAACGGGACCCCTTGCCACAGGGTGTCCCCCTCTCTGTTACTGATGTGGATCAATGCAACCCCAATGTGAGTTAATGGCAAAAAAACAACAACATAGCCATCTGTTAAAGTAGATTATAGTAGATTGGGCATTTTGTGGAAATGTTAGTTCCAATCTATACCCTACTTCAAATGCCTTGAAACCAACCAATCAAAATGTTCCAATGAAATAGATTATTTGTTTTTATTTGAACCCATAGTAAGTGACTGCTAAAAAGACTACGAACACTAGGACACTAGGAAAGAGGATGTGCTCACATGCACTCATTGAGATATTTCTATACATGCAGTATATCCAATCTGAAATTCAGTGAGCACATGCTCTGAGTGCTTTGTGTGAGACAAAGCTATTGTTTGGGGTTTACGTGAGATTGGGGCAGATTATTTCAGATTACTCCATTGTTGTGATTGCGTAGGCTCCTATAGATTTATCTTCTCCTTTGATTCCTGCAGAGGGATCAACACCTACGGGTTACAGGCCATTGAAGGCAAAACTAGGCAAAAGGAGTGGCTAGTATTTGGACAAATGTTTATCTTTAGGAATCCGTAATATGGCTATTTCAGATTTTTCTTTCTAATAAACAGGGTTATAAAATAGAAAATAGGGCCATGTCTAAAAATATAGGATTATATCTGTCAATAGCATCAATTGAAAAAATAAGCATTCCTAATGTATCAGTAGGAGTGTTTAGGGTGTTCAATTTTAAAATCAATATAAATGTGTGTACTGTAGGTACATTTCCCCCGCATGCTGCCCTCTAGTGACTTCATGTAGGATTAGTTTATGAAAATCATTTCATGCAACATTTATGAACAATACCAAGCCTCCTCACGTGAAAAACTGCTGAGTATTTCCAAGGGTCGGCCTGGAGGGTCTGAAGAAATAGATTAGAAACTGTAATCCTGGATTGAGACAAGTATGCCTGATTGCAAACAGTGTGGGATTAGGAAATGTAATTTTCCATATCCTTTTCTCTTATTTGCCATTGGTCGATTGTAGCTCTTCAATGTAAACGTTTAATTGAATCCCCTCCCTATAACGTCAGAGGACTGATTATACACATATTGGAGGACCATGATGTGCCTATACAACCTCTGCATGAACTCACTATTTTATTTGTTTCTGATATGAATTTTACCATTATTTGTGAGAAAACAGAACCCTCTCCAAGCTGAGACCTATAAGTAATGATGAGAATGACTAATGGTTTGGAACATTCCACTGCAAGAAATAAGTAATGTAGAACAGCTTGCTGTAACCTAGTAACCCCTGTAGTTCAGTTGGTAGAGCATGGTGCTTGCAACGCCAGGGTTGTGGGTTCGATTCCCACGGGGGGGCCAGTATGAAAATGTATGCACTCACTAACTGTAAGTCGCTCTGGATAAGAGCGTCTGCTAAATGACTAAAATGTAAATGTAACCCACATACTAGCTTGCTAAAAAGTTATAAACCAACCTATGAATTAAATAGGTCATTGATGCTGACTGATTCCATAATTTTTTATGGGCAAAATGTAACTTAGAATAGCCATTTATATAGCCTAATGTAAGATAATCACAGCAAGTTTGATTTAATGTGGCAGTAAATTACATTTAATGTGTCAAACGTGTTATCAAGTAGATCAAAAACATCTAGTTTTAGTAATATATCCATACTGAGTGCAGATGATGAAGCGGAAACTGTTTCGACATCACAGAGTTGCCATCTTCCTCTCTTCCTGTGTCTGCCGTTCATAGCCTCAACACTTCCTCAAAACAATCACCCGAGTTTTTGACATTTGAGCAAAAAAAAGTTCAACCTTGACATTATAATTTAGGATAAGTCTATTTTCTGCTTTTTTCTTACTGTACAATCCAGGTCTGCAAAGCTCTTAGAGATTTACCCAGAAAGACTCACAGCTGTAATCGCTGCCAACAGTGATTCTAACATGTTTTGACTAAGGGGTGTGAATAGTTATGTAAATTAGATATTTATGTATTTTATTTTCACACATAAGCAAAGACCCTCCCCCCCAAAAAATTGGGGGGGGACTTTGTCATTATGGGGTATTGTGTGTAGATGGGTGAGAGAAAAAAATCTATTTATTCCATTTTGAATTCAGGATGTAACACAACAAAATGTGGAATAAGTCAAGGGGTATGAATACTTTCTGAAGGCATTGTATAGCCTATGCCAGGTGTGAGTTATGCAACAAATGTAGCCCAACCACATATGGTAACTAGGTTCCAAAATTATATCACCGTCATCACAGAGGGAGACCACAAAATGTTCATCTAGCAGAATGTGTTTTTTCCCCTACTGAAACCGATTCCGTGGTAATAGACAGAATGTTGATTGCCTCACATGCCACATCCTGTCCTTTTGAGGAAGTCAAGCATTCGGTCTGGGTTAGTTTATGCAGTTAACACTTAGATACCATTAGAGTTGGTCAGAGTACAGATATGCTTCTTTAAGATTTCATTAGACTGAACTCTAAAACCAACCAACATCAACACAAAATGCTACAGAGGGCAGCCTCAAATGTTTCAGACAAATCAAAGCTCAGTAAACCAAAGGTAGGTGAAAACAAATTATTTCTAAGTAGCGTGTCCAAATACATTGAATTGATGACTAACTGTGTAGAATTGATAACTAACTGTTTAGTGCTAACTACCTACAATAGTTAGCACTAAAATGTGATTCTAATTAAAAGAAGAAGCAATGCTTGACTGATGGTCAGTAGAAAGAATACATTGGTCATCTGTGTGGAAGTGCAGCAGATATATGGTCAAAGTTGTAAGAAGGGGGAGGGTCCATCAAATTACTCAAAAGGTTCCCTAGATTGCTGCAGAGTGTGTGGTCCTAGTATTTAATAGGGATTTACTGGGATTATACATTTATATAATTATGTTGGTGATCTGATGTGGAGATACTGGCATTTGGACAGATTATAAATACTTTTAGGTTTATGAACATTTTGAAAAATCTATGAACTGCACCTCACAAGCTCTTCCTGATAGAGATACACACATAGTGCAAAAGAGATTGAGTTCAAGTTGCCACATGTGCCAGACTTCTAGGCTCAACACACATTGTGCAAGACAATGGCACAGTATTACTGTAAATCAAGGGTGTAGGAGAACATAATTCATTACCATGGAATTTGTCCCTCATTAGCATAATATGAAAGGAATAAAAGGAAAGGAAATGATCATAAACACATTTGATTGGGTGATTGGGTGGGATGGGGGTGCAACATGCATTGCATAATATTCCAGATTGGGTCCTGACTCCTGCTGCCACTGTGGTAAACACACATTTAATCTGTCATCTGTAATCTCTCCATGCAGCGCTCCACCAGTTTTGGGCGATTTGAGGGCCTCAGACAACCATCACCAGCCAGACTAGAGGAAAATGGAACAACAGTGGCAGAGGAGTCTGGATGTGAGGGTTCTGATCAGACCAAACAAGGCAGCCTGGGGAAGAAGATGAAGGCCATCTCTCTGACCATGCGCAGGAAGATGGGCAAGAAGCACTCCAAAACCTTCTCTGAGGAAGCTGTGAGTCACAATACAGACTGCCTCTTCCTCATCCTACACAGTACTTAGTATTCTGCGTAGTCTATCAAAGCATCTAGAGGCTCTTAAAATATTGTATATTTCCTCTCTGACTGGCTGTAACCCACATCCTCAAATGCAACATTGTGATGTCTACCTATGTCATAAGAATACTCTTGTAAAATAAGTCTGGCCAAGCAAGGTTCAATTTGTGTTGAAATTAGGTCTAAGTGACAAAATAGTATCCAACAACCTGGTCAGTATTTGGAAGTGGCTATGTTGAATTGTTAACTCAATGACACTTCCTTATATAAATGGCACAGTTATGTACAGTATATAGGAATCAACATCAATTTGGCAGACTCACATAGTGGCTTGTCCATCTTGTATTTCCCATGCAGGGTGAGGACACTGACAGAGACCTAGAAGAGGAAACAGAGAGAGGTCATCCTTTAGAGAAATGCTCTGAAAAGACCAGCAACTCTCTGGAGAGCCTGTCCAGCGGACAGAGTTCCTCCAGTAAGTCCTCTCCACAGGGATGTCAACAGAAAGTCATGTCTCTCCTCATACAAGTCTGTAAATGAAGATACATGTTTGTAAATGAAGAATAAGCAAATGTGATGTGTTTTCATGCGTTTTATTTTACCATTGTATTACCATATTATTACCATTATATTACAATATTATCATAGGCTTGTAACCTTCCCTCCAACACAAGGATACACGCACGTACTCTTCTTTGTCCAGGGGTAAATATGTGCAGTGTAATCATACTGTGATGTCTTGTCCCCTGTTGGCTCAGGTGGTGTGGCCAGCGTCTCAGATGGCTCCAGTACCAGAGACAGTCTGAGACTAGAAGAGGACGGCTCCTACAACGGACACTTCTGTGGTAGAGCACGGGTCCACACAGACTTTGTTCCCAGCCCATATGACACTGACTCCCTCAAACTCAAGGTAGACAGAAGATACAGTGCCTTGCAAAAGTATTCATCCCCCTTGGCGTTTTTCCTATTTTGTTGCATTACAACCTGTAATTTAAATGGATTTTTATTTGGATTTCATGTAATGGACATACACAAAATAGTCCAAATTGGTGAAGTGAAATGAAAAAAAATCTAAAAAATACATAACGGAAAAGTGGTGCGTGCATATGTATTCACCCCCTTTGCTATGAAGCCCCTAAATAAGATCTGGTGCAACCAATTACCTTCAGAAGTCACATAATTACTTAAATAAAGTCCACCTGTGTGCAATCTAAGTGTCACATGACCTGTCACATGATCTCAGTATATATACACCTGTTCTGAAAGGACCCAGAGTCTGCAACACCACTAGGGGCACCACCAAGCAAGCGGCACCATGAAGACCAAGAAGCTCTCCAGGTCAGGGACAAAGTTGTGGAGAAGTACAGATCAGGGTTGGGCTATAAAAAAAATATCTGAAACTTTGAACATCCCACGGAGCACCATTTAAATCCATTATTAAAAAATTTAAAGAATATGGCACCACAACAAACCTGCCAAGAGAGGGCCGCCCACCAAAACTCACGGACCAGGCAAGGAGGGCATTAATCAGAGAGGCAACAAAGAGACCAAAGATAACCCTGAAGGAGCTGCAAAGCTCCACAGCGGAGATTGGAGTATCTGTCCATAGGACCACTTTAAGCCGTACACTCCACAGAGCTGGGCTTTACGGAAGAGTGACCAGAAAAAAGCCATTGTTTAAAGAAAGAAATAAGCAAACACGTTGGCGCCAAAAGCCATGTGGGAGAAGGTACTCTGGTCAGATGAGACTAAAATTTAGCTTTTTGGCCATCAAGGAAAACGCTATGTCTGGCGCAAACCCAACACCTCTCACCACCCCGAGAACACCATCACCACAGTGAAGCATGGTGGTGGCAGCATCATGCTGTGAGGATGTTTTTCATCGGCAGGGACTGGGAAACTGGTCAGAATTGAAGGAATGATGGATGGCGCTAAATACAGGGAAATCTTGAGGGAAACCTGTTTCAATCTTCCAGAGATTTGAGACTGGGACGGAGGTTCACCTTCCAGCAGGACAATGACCCTAAGCATACTGCTAAAGCAACACTCAAGTGGTTTAAGGGGAAACATTTAAACGTCTTGGAATGGCCTAGTCAAAGCACAGACCTCAATCCAATTGAGAATCTGTGGTATGACTTAAAGATTGCTGTACACCAGCGGAACCCATCCAACTTGAAGGAGCTGGAGCAGTTTTGCCTTGAAGAATGGGCAAAAGTCCCAGTGGCTAGATCTGCCAAGCTTATAGAGACATACCCCAAGAGACTTGCCGCTGTAATTGCTGCAAAAGGTGGCTCTACAAAGTATTGACTTGTGAATAGTTATGCACGCTCATGTTCTGTTTTTTTTGTCTTATTTCTTGTTTGTTTCACAATAACAAATATTTTGCATCTTCAAAGTGATAGGCATGTTGTGTAAATCAAATGATACAAACCCCCCAAAAATCAATTTTAATTCCAGGTTGTAAGGCAACAAAATAGGAAAAAATGCCAAGGGGGGTGAATACTTTCGCAAGCCACTGTAATGCTTCTAGATTGGGGTAATGTGAAATGTCATGAAAGATGTTTGTAAAAGCTGTTTCATGAACCTATATGTATGAATCCAATCTCTTGATGTCTTTTCCCAGGTTGGAGACATTATCAGCATCATCAGTAAACCTCCCATGGGCATATGGACGGGGATGCTGAACTACAAAGTGGGCAACTTCAAGTTCATCTACGTTGACGTGGTCATGGAGAAAGAGAGAGAGGAGGAGGCGCCAAAGATCAGGCCTCAGAGGATGAGCAGGAGACCACGACCAAAGACACTACTGGAACTACTGCAGCGTCTTCATCTAGAGGTGAGTGCTCAGAGGTCATAGCTAGAAGGTTTTGTCAAATTAACTTCAGATTTGACTTTTCGTAGCAGGTTAGGATAATTAACCTAGCAGGTTAGGAGAATTAGGTTAAGGTTAGGGAAAGGGTTAGGGTTAGCTAAAATGCAAAAATAATCGTATTTTGATGTTAATTAGACAAAAGCTGGATCCCTTCTAGCTCTGACCCTGTTAAAATGACTGCCAAATACAGCTCAATTTTTTCTTTCCAGTAACCAATCAATCCATGACATGAAACCTACACTGAGAAAACAATGTAAAGTGTCCCACAACTCTACTAGACACACAGTATTGAGAACGGTGTTGTCTCAAGTACCCAACAAAATAATTATAATATGCATAAACATAGCCTAAAGCACTCAAAGGTGAACAAATTAGTATAAGATTATGAAAGGTAGATGAGATGACATTGACAATGGAACTATATCATGTTTATTCCAGGAGTATGCATCTGCACTGCTTCTGAATGGCTACCAGACAGTAGAGGACCTGAGGCACCTGCAGGAGAAACACCTTATAGAGCTGAACGTGATGAATCCAGAACACAGAGGCAGGCTGCTGGCTGCTGCAGACTGCAGATATACAGAGAGTGAGTAGCAAAACCAATTTCTACTGTAGCCTAGCCCTACTCCATTTCTACTGGGGCAAAGGAAATGGGCAATTGTACCACAGACATTTTGTGCTGTGCAGCACTACGTTCAGAAAGGAACATCTTGATCTTTGTGTATGATAAGCAGATGCTTATCGCTGTTATTATTAAAGATGTGCCCATCCTGCAGAGTTGGCACCAGTCAGAGAAAAACTGCTTAAAGAGGCACAATGTCTTCCTCTATTCTAATCCTCTATAAAACACTGCAAGGCTCTGAAACACAAAATGAAACAGAAAGATTGGTCTCCAATCCAGATTAAGAAATGAACAATACTAGCCAGTTTCTGTCAGCTGCTTACAAAACGGGATGCGTTTTAGCATAAGGGTTATTAATGTTTGTGTCCTCACATAACACCATTTATGTTAGTGAAATTAAGGTCATAAATGTGTGTTGGGCTAATTTCGGACCAAACAGATGGCACTGCCACCCTGGCTAAACCAGATATCGTGACTGTGGGCTAGTTCCTGACCAAACAGATGGCACTGCCACCCTGGCTGAACCAGATATCGTGACTGGCTGTTGGATAACCCTGGCAGAGGTTACCAGCCAGGGAGGAATTTAGTCATTAAATCAAGCTTAATTCCATTTGGATGATGTGAGAATGGCAACCCTAATTAATTTAAAAATTGACTTGGATCCGGGCAGCCAACCTGCAGGTGTCTGTCTGTGTCTGAGGGTCCAATCAACCAGACTGCTTTGTTCTTGTGTTCGCAGGCGATGATGTGAGGGAGAGTGAGGAGCCCTCTTCATCACACAGCCTGAAGGAGGAGAAGAGTGACTGTCCCAGAGACTCAGGCTGCTTTATTCCATCAGAGTGCTCTGAAAACAGCAAAGATGACACAGAGAGCCAACCAGTCACACACTGATAGGCCGCACTATCCTAATAAACATACCGGTATAAAGAGTTGATTAACTATTACGTTTTGACATGTAAATTACGATGGTTCACCATGTTTGTCTCGTCTGTATTTGGTTTAACAAGGTGGGATTTCATTAATTAAATGTTAAATGTAGGCTATTTTTCTTAAAACCGATGAATTTGTTCCTCCTTATAAGCCTTCATTTATGAACCTTTTTCTTTAACCTATTAATTCACATAAAGCATTGGGCCAAACTCATTCCACGGAGGGCTGCGGGGTTCTGCTCCTCCCTTGTCCTTGATTGATGAATTAAGGTCACTAATTAGGAAGGACCTCCCCTCACCTGGCTGTCTAGGGCTTAATTGAAAGGGAAAAAAAAAAAAAACCTGCAGACACTAGGCCCTCCATGGAATGAGTTTGACACTCCTGACAAAGTATTTACTACTTAAATCATATCTTATTTTTTGTGTATTGTGCTGGAAAAGATGGTGTGTGTTTGGTTTTACTATCCTTGTGGGGACCAGAAGTCCTCACAAGGATTGTAAAACAAGGAAAATTCGGACAAGTGGGAACATTTCGCTGGTCCCAAGGAATAAGGAGGCTATTTTAGGTTTAGGGTTAGGAGTTAAGGTTAGGTTAAGGGTTAAGGGTTAGGTTTAAGGTTAGGGAAAATAGGATTTTGAATGTTGTTTTGTCCCAACAAGTGCGTATCTTTTTAAACAATCCTGGTTTAACAAAATGTTCATACTTGTAGAACTCAATATATGTGCAATATGTCACACATTAATAAAGTATTTATGCATCAAGAGTTATCTGTCATTAGTCTAACTAATCCGTTAATTTGTACTGCATTGAATGTATAATTTATAATTTCAAGCAAAATGTGCAGAGGAAGGCGTTGCCGTTGTACAATATTGCTAAATGTAGTGACACTGAACACACATATTTGAAAACGTCATATTTGACTAGTGTTCATGGGAAATGTTGTTTCTTTGCGTTCTCTTTCCGTGTATGTGTAAGCGATAACGCATGGATTGGACTACGTTACCCAGAAGCATTAGACCACGTTATAATGGTGACGTGTAGTTCTGTGGCTCATCCACATTATTCTTAATGCAGAACCGGTCAAGAGGGGTTTCTACTAGTTACCACAGTCACAAAGTCAAAATTGGCTATATCGTACATATGCATTCTTATTTTTTTGCCTTTTTGGTCTTAATTTAAGGATATGGTTAGTCATAAGGTTAGCTGTGTGGTTAAGGGTTAGGTTTAAAATCATTAAGAAGATATATGTTAGAAATAGGCGGGGTTTATGTCTTAGTGGCTCGTGTAACTAGTGACGACCGTCAAGCGGTGACAACGTTCATCCATTCCGAAGCTGATGAGTCTATTAGCATAGATTTTGTTTTACTACGTCTCAGTTCGGTGGTGATCAGTACTTGACAATGGCTGGGGAAATGTCTATGATCGGTAAGTAAAATTTAACCGTAACATGTGCTTGTTGTTGTGTAGCCAGCTGTTTAGCTAGTTACTATAGCTAACAAGTGGACTGACACGTTACCAGTAACAGTTAGCTGGCTAGTTGCTACCTAAATCATTACTAGTAGTCAGTTAGCTGGAAAGGTAAATAAAGTGTCAAACTGTCAACGCTGAATGAATATGTAAATAAGTAGGCTAAATGCGAGCTAGCTATGTAGTCAACATCCATACCTAAACCCACGTTTTTTTTTTATATATATATCTTCCGTGTCGCAGGATCGGTCATTCTGGCTCTTTTTCTGGCTGGCTATCTGGGGCAGCAGTACCTGCCTCCACCGAAACCCAAAGTAATCGGCCTAGATCTGGGGACCACTTTCTGCTCCGTGGGAGTATTCCACCCGGGTACCGGGGATGTGGAGGTGATAGGGGATGAGGAGGGGCGGAAGAGTATCCCTAGTGCGGTGTCGTTCACCCATACAGAAGTTCTCGCCGGTCACGAGGGTCAGGATCTGGCCGACAGCAATCCTCAAAACACCATCTATGATGCCAAGCGGTTTATTGGAAAGATATTCGAACAAGAGCTCCTTGAGCAGGAAAGTGCTCGCTATCCATTCAAGGTACAGTACATACATGCGGAGTCACTGACCACCTTCCGGAGACACTTGAAACCCTACCTCTTTAAGGAATACCTGGGATAGTATAAAAGTAATCCTTCTCCCTACCCCACCCCCACACACACACACACACATATATATATATATATATATATATATATATATATAATATTTTTTAAACAAATGAAAATTCAAAATATACTCTAAAAATTAGAAAAATTTAACAAAATAAATTGTTAAGTGGTTGTCCCACTGGATATCATAAGATGAATGCACCAATTTGTAAGTCGCTCTGGATAAGAGCGTCTGCTAAATGAGGTAAATGTAATACTCCTGTAGTTACTCTGACAGTCAATACACCACAGTGAAAATGATTGAATAAAGCATTAGCATTTGGCTGCATAAGCTATGTGTGATTGCAGGTGTATAAATATGCTATATCAATGACTGTTGACTTTCATTTGTAACAACATACATTTCTTTCAGGTGATAAACAACAATGGCAGTGCAGAGTTCTTGGTCACCACCAACCAGACGTTCACGGTTACTCCTGAGTTCATTGGTTCTCGGTTGCTGCTGAAGATGAGGAAGATGGCGGAGCATCACCTGGGTGTCCCCATCCAGAGGGCTGTTATCTCTGTCCCTGCTGAGTTTGATGAGAGACAGAGGAACTACACCATCAGGGCTGCCAACCTGGCCGGTCAGTCTCTTATCTGGCAATACTTTATCAACAGTCATACAATATCTGATATGATGTGTAAACACTGCTACAGGAATTACTTACACTGTGTAGCTTTTTATTGTAGTCTCATTTAGAAACAGTATATCATACAGGGGATGACATTAAGGGTTGCCCTATTGCCTGAGGCAAGTAAACTGAGCAGTCACGCAAGTTGAGCCTGCTCTGAGATGTTTTTTTGTAGTTTTTTAAGTGAAAACTGCCAATAATTCCTAGCTTAAAACTGATCTTTCTGGTTCATCCACATTGTCTAAGTGAGCTGAGCTTGCTCAGATATTTTTTTAAATGATAACAACCAACATACAAATAATTTGATTACTGATCTTTCTGATTCCTCTCCTATGTGTAGGTGAAAGGCAGGCAATATGGCACTTCTGCGTGTAAAAAGCTAATAAAAAATGTCTGATGGGCAAGTGCCTTACAGACTTTAATGTCAATCCCTGATATAATTAGGTGTTTGTTCTAAGCCCATAACTGTGTTAATGATCCTATACAGACAGAGAAAGACAGTAGAATATTGGACACCTAATCCAAAGATGTAAAGATTCCTAAGGGCTTTGACCAAATCTACACTACCCACTGTAAGAACTGTAACTAACATCTGATTGTTCTGTTTACACCACTCAGGACTGGACATCCTGCGTGTGATCAACGAGCCCACGGCTGCAGCGATGGCGTACGGGTTACACAAGGTGGACGTGTTCAACGTGCTGGTGGTAGACCTGGGAGGAGGAACGCTGGACGTCTCTCTGCTCAATAAACAAGGGGGCATGTTCCTCACCAGAGCCATGTCAGGTAGGACGCTAATCAACTCTCAACTCCTTATCATGTTGTAGATACGCATGGTTTAGTTGGTGTCACTTTAATTTCTCTTCTGGCAGGTAGGGTGGCAGGTAGCCAAGCGGTTAAGAGCGAAAGGTCGCTGGTTCAAATCCCCGAGCTGACTAGATGAACAATCTGTTTGTGCCCTTGAGCAAGGCACTTAACCATAATTGCTCCTGTAAGTCGCTCTGGATAAGAGCGTCTGCTAAATGACTAAAATGTCTAAAGGTCAAATGTTCTGGAATAAAATTGGTCATACAGTACAAGTGGAACATTTGTCATATTTTATACTGAATAAAAATATAAACGCAACAATTTCAAAGATTTTACTGAGATACAGTTCATATAAGGAAATCAGTCAATTGAAATAAATTCTTTAGGCCCTAATCTATGGATTTCACATGACTGGGCAGGGGCGCAGCCATGGGTGGGCCTGGGAGGGCATAACCCCACCCACTTGGGAGCCAGGCCCAGACAATCAAAATGAGTTTTTCCCCACAAAAGGGCTTTATTACAGACAGAAATACTCCTCAGTTTCATCAGCTGTCAGGGTGGCTGGTCTCAGATGATCCCGCAGGTGAAGAAGCCGAATGTGGAGGTCCTGGGCTGGCGTGGTTGCACGTGGTCTGCGGTTGTGAGGCCGGTTTGACGTACTGCCAAATTCTCTTAAGTTGGTAGAGAAATTAACTTAAAATTATTTGACAACAGCTCTGGTGGACATTCCTGCAGTCGGCAAGCCAATTGCACGCTCCCTCAAAACTTGAGACATCTGTGGCATTGTGTTGTGTGACAAAACTGCACATTTTAGAGTGGCCTTTTATCGTCCCCAGCACAAGGTGACCCTATTTACATTGACATTTTAGTCATTTAGCAGACGCTCTTATCCAGAGCGATTTACAGTTAGTGAGTGCATACATTTTCATACCCTATGTAATGACCATGCTGTTTAATCAGCTTCTTGATATGGCACACCTGTCAGGTGGATGTAATATCTTGGCAAAGGAGAAATGCTCACTAACAGGGATGTAAACAAAATTGGAGAGAAATAAGCTTTTTGTGCGTATAGAACATTTCTGGGATCTTTTATTTCAGCTCATGAAACATGGGACCAACACTTTACATGTTGCGTTTATATTTTTGTTCAGTATAGTTGGAGGACCATTTCCAATTGGCACAACTAATTCAAACCATACACGATAATGGATTTAAATGGAATTGATCCCAATACAACACTAACAGATAAATAGTATACTTGGACTCAGATAATGACCCTTGCTGTTGTGTCCTTGTTTCCTAGGTAACAACAAGCTGGGGGGGCAGGACTTCAGCCAGAGGCTGCTCCAGTACACCATGGAGAGGGTCCGCCAGCAGTACGACGTTCCCCCCACCCTCAAAGAGGACATCCACCGCCTCCGCCAGGCCGTGGAGGCTGCCAAGCTCAACCTCACCCTGCAGCCCAGTGCCCACCTCAGGGTACCCCTGCACCTGGAGCCCCATGGGGACCCCAAGGAACCACCACAGGGGCCCGCCAAGGACCCAATCCCAGTCATCTTCCAAGCAGTCATCACCCGCGAGCTGTTTGAAGAGCTGAATGCCGACCTCTTCCAGAAGATTCTGGTGCCTGTAGAGACAGTGCTGGCCGAGGGCCACCTGGGGAAGGAGGAGGTGGATGAGATAGTTCTGGTGGGAGGCTCCACCCGCATCCCTAGGATCAGGAAGCTGATCAGTGAATACTTTGGGAAGGAGCCCAACACCTCAGTGGACCCAGACTTGGCAGTGGTGACCGGGGTGGCCATCCAGGCTGGCATCATGGGCGGCTCCTGGCCCCTACAGGTCAGCGCTATAGAGATCCCCAACAGACACCTCCGCAAGACCAACTTCAATTGATCTAGTCTAGAGAGGTGGCAAGGGGCATAAGGATGCCACCAGACAGAGACTTGCCATATTAAAGGATGGTCTGCATTTTAACTGTTAATTGTCCTTCTCCATCTTCACCAGGTGTGCAATAGTATTATGAGGTTAAAATATGATCTTCTTCAGCTGTAATAATAGCTACTGGAATATATTTTCACAGAGAAACTCAAATTACACCATTACTTGTTTACTGCCGGCCCAATTTATTAGACCAACGGTGGTAGATTGAAATGGTGTTCAATTCAGGGAACAACCTTTATTTCTAGAGAACTGTGACCAGCCAATACAACTTCAGCTATTTATTTATTTATTTCTAGTTTATGTCTATGCATGTGTGCGAGCGTGTTTGTACTGTGAGTTGTGGGGTGTACTGTACATGAGGAGTATTTGTTTTTCGGTGGATGACACAACGTTCTTGTGCCTTTTCAAAGAGCTGCTGTGGTTGTGTGGAGCTGTACTGTGCTTTTAAGTCACCTGATATGAAGAACCACCAGTCCTTTAGGGAGTCCTTCTATTGACTAGGGCAGTATTCTATTAGAGTTCTGGACCAAATATGTTTGCACATACTTTGTTACATATTGTTTCAAGCAGTAGCCTATGCTCAGCTTTGCGAGACGTCGGTTTAGTATGGGATAACTGATGACGTAATTGTCAAAATAAGGGGCATACTAACTTGGCTAAATATTGCACTTTGAAAACGATTTAACTTGTTAGCCAGCATCATCATTCTGGTGCAATTGAATTGTAAGAATCACAGAGTACACTGGCTGACACTTAGTACTAATATTCATTATTCTACGTTTTAGTCATTTAGCAGACACTCTTATCCAGAGCGACTTATAGGAGCAATTAGGGTTAAGCGACTTCCTCAAGGGCACGTCAACATATTTTTTACCAAACCAGCGACCTTTTGGTTACTGGCCCAATGCTCTTAACCACTAAGCTACCTTTATATAGAAGTACTTATTGTAAGTGCCATAAAAAGACCAAAGGCTTATGGTGCCTGTTAGATGTGTTACCGTGTGGTAGAGTAATGGTTGTGGCTGTTAGAACCCCTGGAATTGGAGAACAAACATGTTGGTTGATAATTTACTACTATTAGCCAATTCACATTCTCTCATGTATAGAATGTACATTCCAAAATACCAGTCTAGTCAGGGCTGAAACAGCAGAAAAATTAAAATACTGTATGCCTTTAGAGGTTTGTTCAACAAGGTAAACAGTTTGAATGCATTCCTTGTTGAACGTGCCTCAGATACTGTACTGATTGCACAGTTCTCTGTAGTGATATGCTATAGGAATTTATCTGGACCTGTCCATTTCAACTGAGTATGTAACTTAACAGATATTTTTGTACTGCAAGTTTTGCTTATATTCTTCAAAGCACCCCTCTCATATGGCCCCCTTAGATATCTGCTTTAAATCTGCTTGTACTACATGCATCTTTACAAAAATTCCAGAATTTCCCAAAATACAATTATTGAATTTCTGCAGTGAAATGTTATTTTCTTTCTATGAGGGATTTTCTAGAACAGTGAACAAAATGAAAACCAGCTTTAATACACATACAAAACAAATCCATTCAAAACATAGTTCAGGACCAAACAGAGATTGCTGTAAGTGAAAATATCAACATTCAGATGCATCTTGCGGTCTGCATTACATGATAGACTGACTTTCTAGTACAGGTGGAAGTTAAACAAAAAGGAAATTTGTGATAAAGATGTTCCCAGCACATCTTGACTGATAAAATCTTGCAAATTGCATTTACCATCACTCACTAGCTTCTTCAGAAATGTGGTAACATCTTGCCACGTAACTTTACAATTCAGAGGGGAAAACATCAGTATAATAGAGATCCACAATGGTGTTAGTTACTGGTATGGTCTACTGCATATACAGTGGGGGAAAAAAAGTATTTAGTCAGCCACCAATTGTGCAAGTTCTCCCACTTATAAAGATGAGAGGCCTGTAATTCTCATCATAGGTACACGTCAACTATGACAGAAAAATTGAGGAAAAAAAATCAAGAAAATCACATTGTAGGATTTTTAATGAATTTATTTGCAAATTATGGTGGAAAATAAGTATTTGGTCACCTACAAACAAGCAAGATTTCTAGCTCTCACAGACCTGTAACTTCTTCTTTAAGAGGCTCCTCTGTCCTCCACTCGTTACCTGTATTAATAGCACCTGTTTGAACTTGTTATCAGTATAAAAGACACCTGTCCACAACCTCAAACAGTCACACTCCAAACTCCACTATGGCCAAGACCAAAGAGCTGTCAAAGGACACCAGAAACAAAATTGTAGACCTGCACCAGGCTGGGAAGACTGAATCTGCAATAGGTAAGCAACTTGGTTTGAAGAAATCAACTGTGGGAGCAATTATTAGGAAATGGAAGACATACAAGACCACTGATAATCTCCCTCGATCTGGGGCTCCACGCAAGATCTCACCCTGTGGGGTCAAAATGACCACAAGAACGGTGAGCAAAAATCCCAGAACCACACGGCGGGACCTAGTGAATGACCTGCAGAGAGCTGGGACCAAAGTAACAAAGCCTACCATCAGTAACACACTACGCCGCCAGGGACTCAAATCCTGCAGTGCCAGACGTGTCCCCCTGCTTAAGCCAGTACATGTCCAGGCCTGTCTGAAGTTTGCTAGAGTGCATTTGGATGATCCAGAAGAGGATTGGGAGAATGTCATATGGTCAGATGAAACCAAAATATAACTTTTTGGTAAAAACTCAACTCGTCGTGTTTGGAGGACAAAGAATGCTGAGTTGCATCCAAAGAACATCATACCTACTGTGAAGCATGGGGGTGGAAACATCATGCTTTGGGGCTGTTTTTCTGCAAAGGGACCAGGACGACTGATCCGTGTAAAGGAAAGAATAAATCGTGTATCGTGAGATTTTGAGTGAAAACCTCATTCCATCAGCAAGGGCATTGAAGATGAAACGTGGCTGGGTCTTTCAGCATGACAATGATCCCAAACACACCGCCCGGGCAACGAAGGAGTGGCTTCGTAAGAAGCATTTCAAGGTCCTGGAGTGGAAATCGATAGAAAATCTTTGGAGGGAGTTGAAAGTCTGTGTTGCCCAGCGACAGCCCCAAAACATCACTGCTCTAGAGGAGATCTGCATGGAGGAATGGGCTAAAATACCAGCAACAGTGTGTGAAAACCTTGTGAAGACTTACAGAAAACGTTTGACCTGTGTCATTACCAACAAAGGGTATATAACAAAGTATTGAGAGACTTTTGTTATTGACCAAATACTTATTTTCCACCATAATTTGCAAATAAATTCATTAAAAATCCTATAATGTGATTTTCTGGATTTTGTTTTCTCATTTCTCATAGTTGACGTGTACCTATGATGAAAATTACAGGCCTCTCTCATCTTTTTAAGTGGGAGAACTTGCACAATTGGTGGCTGACTAAATACTTTTTTTCCCCACGGTAATTGTATTGAGGTCTGGGCTTTGACTAGGCCATTCCAAGACATTTAAATGTATCCCCTTAAACCACTCAAGTGTTGCTTTAGCAGTATGCTTAGGGTCATTGTCCTGCTGGAAGGTGAACCTCTGTCCCAGTCTCAAATCTCTGGAAGACTGAAACAGGTTTCCCTCAAGAATATCCCTGTATTTAGCGCCATCTATCATTCCTTCAATTCGGACCAGTTTCCCAGTCCCTGCCAATGAAAAACATCCTCACAGCATGATGCTGCCACCACCATGCTTCAATGTGGGGATGGTGTTCTCGGGGTGGTGAGAGGTGTTGGGTTTGCGCCAGACATAGCGTTTTCCTTGATGGCCAAAAAGCTAAATTTTAGTCTCATCTGACCAGAGTACCTTCTTCCATATGTTTGGGGAGTCTCCCACATGGCTTTTAGCGAACACCAAACGTGTTTGCTTATTTTTTTCTTTAAGCAATGGCTTTTTTCTGGCCACTCTTCCATAAAGCCCAGCTCTGTGGAGTGTAAGGCTTAAAGTGGTCCTATGGACAGATACTCCAATCTCCGCTGTGGAGCTTTGCAGCTCCTTCAGGGTTATCTTTGGTCTCTTTGTTGCCTCTCTGATTAATGCCCTCCTTGCCTGGTCCGTGAGTTTTGGTGGGCGGCCCTCTCTTGGCAGGTTTGTTGTGGTGCCATATTCTTTCCTTTTTTAAATAATGGATTTAATGGTGCTCCGTGGGATGTTCAAAGTAAATTATAAAAAAAAATTATAGCCCAACCCTGATCTGTACTTCTCCACAACTTTGTCCCTGACCTGTTTGGAGAGCTTCTTGGTCTTCATGGTGCCGCTTGCTTGGTGGTGCCCCTTGCTTAGTGGTGTTGCAGACTCTGGGTCGTTTCAGAACAGGTGTATACAGTGGGGAGAACAAGTATTTGATACACTGCCAATTTTACAGGTTTTCCTACTTACAAAGCATATAGAGGTCTGTAATTTTTATCATAGGTACACTTCAACTGTGAGAGACGGAATCTAAAACAAAAATCCAGAAAACCACATTGTATGATTTTTAAGTAATTAATTTGCATTTTATTGCATGACAAGTATTTGATACATCAGAAAAGCAGAACTTAATATTTGGTACAGAAACCTTTGTTTGCAATTACAGAGATCATACGTTTCCTGTAGGTCTTGACCAGGTTTGCACACACTGCAGCAGGGATTTTGGCCCACTCCTCCATACAGACCTTCTCCAGATCCTTCAGGTTTCGGGGCTGTCGCTGGGCAATACGGACTTTCAGCTCCCTCCAAAAATTTTCTATTGGGTTCAGGTCTGGAGACTGGCTAGGCCACTCCAGGACCTTGAGATGCTTCTTACGGAGCCACTCCTTAGTTGCCCTGGCTGTGTGTTTCGGGTCGTTGTCATGCTGGAAGACCCAGCCACGACCCATCTTCAATGCTCTTACTGAGGGAAGGAGGTTGTTGGCCAAGATCTTGCGATACATGGCCCCATCCATCCTCCCCTCAATACAGTGCAGTCGTCCTGTCCCCTTTGCAGAAAAGCATCCCCAAAGAATGATGTTTCCACCTCCATGCTTCACGGTTGGGATGGTGTTCTTGGGGTTGTACTCATCCTTCTTCTTCCTCCAAAAACGGCGAGTGGAGTTTAGACCAAAAAGCTCTATTTTTGTCTCATCAGACCACATGACCTTCTCCCATTCCTCCTCTGGATCATCCAGATGGTCATTGGCAAACTTCAGACGGGCCTGGACATGCGCTGGCTTGAGCAGGGGGACCTTGCATGCGCTGCAGGATTTTAATCCATGACGGCGTAGTGTGTTACTAATGGTTTTCTTTGAGACTGTGGTCCCAGCTCTCTTCAGGTCATTGACCAGGTCCTGCCCTGTAGTTCTGGGCTGATCCCTCACCTTCCTCATGATCATTGATGCCCCACGAGGTGAGATCTTGCATGGAGCCCCAGACCAAGGGTGATTGACCATCATCTTGAACTTCTTCCATTTTCTAATAATTGCGGCAACAGTTGTTGCCTTCTCACCAAGCTGCTTGCCTATTGTCCTGTAGCCCATCCCAGCCTTGTGCAGGTCTACAATTTTATCCCTGATGTCCTTACACAGCTCTCTGGTCTTGGCCATTGTGGAGAGGTTGGAGTCTGTTTGATTGAGTGTGTGGACAGGTGTCTTTTATACAGGTAACGAGTTCAAACAGGTGCAGTTAACAGGTAATGAGTGGAGAACAGGAGGGCTTCCTAAAGAAAAACTAACAGGTCTGTGAGAGCCGGAATTCTTACTGGTTGGTAGGTGATCAAATACTTATGTCATGCAATAAAATGCAAATTAATTACTTAAATTATACAATGTGATTTTCTGGATTTTTGTTTTAGATTCAGTCTCTCACAGTTGAAGTGTACCTATGATAAAAATTACAGACCTCTACATGCTTTGTAAGTAGGAAAACCTGCAAAATCGGCAGTGTATCAAATACTTGTTCTCCCCACTGTATATACTGAGATAATGTGTCAGATCATGTGACACTTAAATAAAGTCCACCTGTGTGCAATCTAACTAATTATGTGACTTCTGAAGGTAATTGGTTGCACCAGATCTTATTTAGGGGCTTCATAGCAAAGGGGGTGAATACATATGCACGCACCACTTTTCCGTTATTTATTTTAAATAATTTTTTGAAACAAGTAATTTTTTTCATTTCACTTCACCAATTTGGACTATTTTGTGTATGTCCATTACATGAAATCCAAATAAAAATCCATTTAAATTACAGGTTGTATTGCAACAAAATAGGAAAAACGCCAAGGGGGATGAATACTTTTGCAAGGCACTGTACATGACTCAAGCAGACGGGTCGCGCCACATTTACTTTTTTTTTGCCTGTTTTGCATGTTATTTTGCCATTAATACATGTCACATATCAGTTTGCAAACAATATAAAATAAAATAAAAAATCCTTGCGTTAATAAAGCCTCCATACAAACATGGTTGCTTTTTTGCTTTCTTGAGTAAGGCAGCTCCAAAATGCAGGGGTTTCAGCTCAGTGCTTTCTGTGGTGGTGGGGCAGCCAGCGGAAAATACGGAGCATAGGGGTTGTAATGTTTTCTAGTTGCGCCGTGATTGGCTCAGTGTTCTGTCACCCATCCAAGAAGGCTCAAGGTCATTGGCCACAGATAAAATGACGTCAACATCATACTTTCAAAATCTTAGCTAGCAGTCATGAATCAAGTCAACAATCTACTGGCAAATCCTTTTTAATCCTTGTCATATGAAGAGAAATAATAAATAAAACGTATCGGTGCTCATCGGCCATAAACATTTCACAGCAAGTTGGAAATCGCAAATTAAACAATGAGTTTGGAAGGAATCAGTGGCTAACTGCAAGCATTGCAAAGCAATCACTAGCCTACTATTCAGTGGAGTGGGTGTGTGGTCCCAATTCTCGGTTTAAGGGTCTCTTTTCCAAGCTTAAAATGATAAACATTCAACATTGGCCATGCTGTCAATCCAGCATGATTTCTGCCACGCTCAAAACAACCTTTAACTCAGAACTGGGAAATCTGACTTCAGTGAGTTCAAGACAACTGGGAACTCAGGAAAAATCGAGCTCCGACTAGGAAAATACGTTTTGAACGGTCATCCAACTCGGAATTGTAAGACGGGAACCCGGGCCTCTTTCTAGAGCTACGACCAGAAGATCACTGACGTCATCATGATCCGACCTTGTTTTTACTGAGCTCCCAGTTGTCTTGAAAGCACCATAAATCCAGAGAATGCCAGACTTTGATGACAAAGTTTGACTGCCGCGCCACCTTCCTGTTCAAGTCAGCACAGCACAACAAGGTGAGTCCAAAAATGTGTTGTACGCTGCTGCCAGGTGTGTAGCAGTGGTGTTGGGACTGCTGTTGTGACTCTGCTGTTGGGACAGCTTTATGTAGGCCCTAACAGTTTGTGGGCACAGTTTGTCACCGTTATAGTGCAATTAATGTATTGTTTAGTGTTGTGTAGTGGCTTTGATGGCATGCATCCCCCACCCCAAAAAAAAAAGTTTGCCCCACCAAGATTTACATGCTAAAACCATCACTGGACTCAATACATTTCAGCTTTTCATTTTTAATTACATTGTAAAAACATAATTCTATTTTGACATTATGGGGTATTTTGTGTGTAGGCCAGTGACAAAATCTCAATTTAATCCATTTTAAATTCAGGCTAACACAAAATGTGGAAAAAGGCAAGGGGTGTGAATACTTTCTGAAGCTGCTGTACATCAAGCAATCACATACAGTAGGAATATGGTTGACATGAGCTAAATCTACAGTCAACAGTAACACCAACCTAAATGGTTTGTTACAGTTATCTTCTATCTAGAAAATACTATGCACAAAAAATAAAAATCACAGTAAAAGGATATCACTTTGGTATCAAAAGCGTTTTAATGTTGACTTCTGAGGCACATAAATAGTAAGTAAATGAGAGTAAATGACAAGTCTATCCATTCCTTGACCCTGTGTGAACTATTCTGATACTCAGCGTCGTCCCTTCAACAGCCTCCAGCTTTATTTTCACAGTTAATATAACACACCCCACTTCATCACATTACATAAAAGATACCCTTTGATGTCACCCTATAGAAACCAATTGATATCATGCACTTTTCTTTTCAAACACCACAATACCATCATGAGTTCAAATGCCATTGAGAAGTTGGGTCGGCAAAGTATTTAAATGACTTTCATAAACTTCAACACTATAGCTATTATTATGCATCATCAGGATCACATTTCCAATATAATGCTCAGCCAGCCATTGCACCTAAAACATTGTAATATGTACTCCCTCCATGTAGAACTGCACACTGAGGGTAGGGGGTGAAATCTCTACTGCCATAATACATGCACTGTACACATCCTTTAAAAATCAAAACACATTCACAATGAACCGAAAACATCACAAAAACACATCCAGTAGACATCATCAGTTTTGCCTGAACACAAGCCCTGCCCGAGAGGCACAGCTCCACAAGTCACTTGATATTGTATATCACATGCATGGATGAAGGAAATGTTGTTCAAAACATCTATTAAAATCATTATCTTACATCATGTAAATATTTCACTCAGTCGGAGGAGAAGGCAGGACCTCTGTAAACAGCTTGTTCATGTTGTTTTTGTTCCTATAAATTTTAATAGCGCCCAAAGAAGGCAAGAAAAAGGAGCAATGCTGCACAAGTAGTACTTCCTCTAAATAACTAAGAATTGGCTGTGCTATAAAGTGACTGCAAGAAAACCAAATAACAGTGTAGAAACAAACAAATAGGTTCTCCAAAGCATCTACAACAGGGGTGGGCAAAACTACGGCCCATAAACCCATTCAATCCCAGCCCATGGGAGGTTTGAGTGAAAAAAATCTATATAAATGGACCAATATATTTTCAAATAAATGCCCTTTTTCTGGCCATCAAATTGATTTTGACAACAAACAGACAAAAAAATTGGTTTAAAAAAAAAAAAAATGCACAACCCTCCGCTGAATTTAGAAATCCCGATGTGGACCTCGAGCCAAAAAGTTTGCCCACCCCTGATCTAGAGGTGAGGAGAAGAGGCCACAGATCTGACGAATCAATCGGTTCATCAATAAAAAGTGCATTTAGTCCCACAGTATGTGTATATATATATATATATATATATATATATATATATATATATAAATATAACAAGCAAAAACAAACCTTTTTACAGAATGTACAAAGCAATGGGTGGTGCTTGTATGGAATTCAGTCAGTAGTTCGGAGGAACAAACCAAAAACTATCTGGATGCACTGAGTCAAACAAGAGTAATCAGAACAACAGACAAGCCAATCACAAGACAGTCACTTGGAAGTCTTAATTTACTCAGGTTTCCACATGCTAGTAAAGTCGGTGTCTTTCAGTAGATTCACATTAGGAGAGTGAGAGTCAATGGGAGATACCTTCATTGTTGTAGTAGTCGAAGCCATTCTCCATGTACAGGTCCTCAGCACTGCCCACACCATTGCTCACCTCTGGGAGGCAGAAGAGGGAAGGGACATCAGTCAGTGTTCACAGGGTATTTCACTGATACAACACAGACCACATAAATGCACATTGAATACACAGGTCATCCAAAACAATATCACTGCAACATCATACCCAAACCACACCAGAGAAATCCCTTAGTTTTCTTTGCTCTGTCACCACTTATCTATTCTAAGACCAACTAGTGCTATTCTAGAGTGGTTATTGTAGAGTGATTATTCTAGAGTGGTTTGGACTGACTGATGGTCATTGAAGACCCTCATCATCATTAGACTTACCTTTCACCACCCACCAGGGGAGGCTGGTGGGTCACAGTGGGCTGTCTAGGCGCCCTTTTACATGACACAGGTCTCTGGTGGGCGATTGGGGAGGAGAGGGGGGAAGGCGGGGCAGGCAGAGAGAGAGGGGAAGGGAGGGATGGAATGGAGGAGGAGCAGCCAGAGGAGGATGGAGAGATGGCAGGATGAAGAGGAGTGGAGGTGGAGAGGAGTGCAGGTCACACACACACAGGATGAGACTGCTACTGCGGTTGACCTTGGGGAGGATAATTACATTACAAACACTCAGAGAGATGCATGCTGGGATAGGGTCACACACTGACATCCCCAGACACTCCTAAAATGGCTGCCTTCCCTCGTCTCCTTTTCTGTGACCACTGATTAATAGGTGAAAGCAATATGGCTGGCCAAAACAACTGGGCATCCACTTAATTTATCCAATGTTATCAGATCAGTGGTAAATAAATAAGGAGAGGAGAAAAGGAGAGGAAGCCATTTCAGAGTACTGGGACACAGCCAGAGAAACAAACACCAACACACAATACAGAAGACACAGGACGTGCAGCTCTCCTCTCTGTGGCGTCCTTCCTTACCGGAGAAGATGAGTTTCTCCTTCATGATGTTGACATCTCTGCTGGACTTCCTGACTGCGGCACTCAGCATGATCTGTTCAGGGTTGTAGCTGTGCATGCCACTCAACCTCCACCTAGAGAGGAATGGTCACAGAGGTCAGGGCATTATATAGAGCAGGGCTCTCCAACCCTGTTCCTGGAGAGCTACCGTCCTGTAGGTTTTCGCTCCAACCCTGATTCTAATAATTAGCTGTTTGATAAGCTGAATCAGGTTAGTTACAACTGTGGTTGGAGTGAAAACCTACAGGAGGGTAGCTCTCCAGGAACAAGGTTGAGAGGCCTGATATAGAGCCTCTGGTCATACCACAGTACTGCTGCCTCTGCTCTCAAGGACCTGTCCTATATGGAGCTAACGGCATGTCAAAATGTGTCGCCCATTTTGCTTGGAGATTGCTACTCTAGGTCAACATGTGTGGGCACTGGACACCATTTTGCCTTAAAGTCTACTTCTATTTGGCTGACCTCAAAACAGACGGATATTGAAGTTGGTTGCTGTACTGAATGAATCGAATGATTTATGCACACATTAATCTACAAGAACATGTACAAATAGAACAGAGTCTGAGCCAAAGACATCTCCACTTCCCTGAAAGTGCATACATCAGATAATGACTACTTGTGATCAGTTACTGACTAGTTGTGACCAATGATTTATATATTACACTAGATGACTGGCAGGGGGCACTGTGTTGAAGACACCGTGCCTCCATCTTGGCACTCCCAAAATATGTTTTACAATGGTGGGGAAGCTATAGAAATTCCTTTATTAATGTCTACATTAGTTTTTGCCCCATGTATTATATTACAGACACCTTAATGCATACTTTTACATTATATTATGTGAGCTAAACATACAAATATATTTTTTAAATACATAAATCCAATTTTGTCCTTGATCACATTTAATTGAAATACTGTAGAATTCGATTCATTCCTATGGAGGACTGCCCCTACTAGGGAGTGCCAATATGGCTGACCGGTGGCTTCAATGCCTCTTAATGGCCAATACAGTTGAAGTCGGAAGTTTACATACACCTTAGCCAAATACATTTAAACTCAGTTTTTCACAATTCCTGACATTTAATCCTAGTAAAAATTCTGTCTTAGGTCAGTTAGGATCACCACTTTATTTTAAGAATGTGAAATGTCAGAATAATAGTAGAGAGAATGATTTATTTCAGCTTTTAATTATTTCATCACATTCCCAGTGGGTCAGAAGTTTACATACACCCAATTAGTATTTGGTAGCATTGCCTTTAAAATTGTTTAACTTGGGTCAAACGTTTCGGGTAGCCTTCCACAAGCTTCCCACAATAAGTTGGGTGAATTTTGGCCCATTCCTCCTGACAGAGCTGGTGTAACTGAGTCAGGTTTGTAGGTCTCCTTGCTCGCACACGCTTTTTCAGATCTGCCCACACATTTTCTATAGGGTTGAGGTCAGGGCTTTGTGATGGCCACTCCAATACCTTGACTTTGTTGTCCTTAAGCCATTTTGCCAAAATTTTGGAAGTATGCTTGGGGTCATTGTCCATTTAGAAGACCCATTTGCGACCAAGCTTTAACTTCCTGATTGATGTCTTTGAGATGTTGCTTCAATATATCCACATCATTTTCCTTCCTCATGATGCCATCTATTTTGTGAAGTGCACCAGTCCCTCCTGCAGCAAAGCACCCCCACAGCATGATGCTGCCACCCCCGTGCTTCACGGTTGGGATGGTGTTCTTCGGCTTGCAAGCTACCCCCTTTTTCCTCCAAACATAACGATGGTCATTATGGCCAAACAGTTCTATTTTTGTTTCATCAGACCAGAGGACATTTTTCCAAAAAGTACGATCTTTGTCCCCATGTGCAGTTGCAAACCGTAGTCTGGCTTTTTTATGGCAGTTTTGGAGCAGTGGCTTCTTCCTTGCTGAGCGGCTTTTCAGGTTATGTCGATATAGGACTTGTTTTACTGTGGATATAGATACTTTTGTACCTGTTTCCTCCAGCATCTTCACAAGGTCCTTTGCTGTTGTTCTGGGATTGATTTGCACTTTTCGCACCAAAGTACGTTCATCTCTAGGAGACAGAACGCGTCTCCTTCCTGAGTGGTATGACGGCTGCGTGGTCCCATGGTGTTTATACTTGCGTACTATTGTTTGTACAGATGAACTTGGTACCTTCAGGCGTTTGGAAATTGCTCCCAAGGATGAACCAGACTTGTGGAGGTCTACCATTTTTTTTCTAAGGTCTTGGCTGATTTCTTTTGATTTTCCCATGATTTCAAGCGAAGAGGCACATGAGTTTGAAGGTAGACCTTGAAATGCATCCACAGGTACACCCCCAATTGATTCAAATTATGTCAATTAGCCTATCAGAAGCTTCTAAAGCCATAACATTTTCTGGAATTTTCCAAGCTGTTTAAAGGCACAGTCAACTTAGTGTAAAGGCACAGTCAACTTCTGACCCACTGGAATTGTGATACAGTGAATTATAAGTGAAATAATCTGTCTGTAAACAACTGTTTGAAAAATTACTTGTTTCATGCACAAAGTAGATGTCCTAACCGACTTGCCAAAACTATAGTTTGTTAAAAAGACATTTGTGGAGTGGTTGAAAAACGAGTTTTAATGACTCCAACCTAAGTGTATGTAAACTTCCGACTTCAACTGTACATAGCATCAGCAATCCAGGATTTATATACATCATTGGTTGTGACTGGCTTTGAGCATCACAACACTAACTGGAGTAACATCTGAGGGAAGAAGATTTACTTCCACAACCCATTTGGTTATGGTAATTAACAAATAGAGGCACGTAAATGAAATGATTATATTAGCAATATTGTGTCTTGGCTAATGCATCAATGCACTTTAAAAAATACGTAGAGCTTTCGTCCAAATCAACACCATAAATGAAAATGAGCTCTTCCTTGTTTGATACAATTCTTGAATTAATTTGTAGACTGTCATTCGGTCGATAATGTTTAAAAAAAAATTCAAGTGGGATGAAAGTGAACACAAGCATTTGTGCTGTGTGGGACAAAGCATTGCTGTCTGCCACTGAAAGGCCAATAGTGGTAAGCTTGCTTGTATTTATACTCTCCTCGTGTTGGGAGAATGAGAAGTGGCAGCAGTGAAATACAATGATACAGGTGAGAGAAAGACAGAAACAAAAGAAAGAGATAGATGTAAGATTTAAAGGATGACGTATACAGAAAGAAAGGATGAAATGATAAAGCTAAATATAGGGAAATGGAGAGAGAGGAAGAAAGAGGGAGAAAAAGGAAACGCATCGTGGGTCAGAGTTGACCCAGTTACCTGATAATGTGATAGCTGAGAGATGCCAGAATGCAGCAGAGAAGAGGAGGAGCATGCACATCAGGCAGAGGACAGGAGGAAGAAGGAAAAAGGAGGAAGAGAAGGGAAAAAGGACAAAAGAAGGCGGAAAGATTAAGAGGTCAGTTTAGAAGCCAGCAGCGGCCAGCACTTTGCTAAGCATAGCAAACCCTACACCATAAGACTAGAGGATGGAGATCTTGCTCTGCTGTCCTCCATCCCACAACAGTGTTATGGCTCAGGAAGAAAGGTGAAATTCCTTTTAGAATAGAGAAACTCCCATAGGAACAGCTTCCTACAGTCTTTCAGAAGATTCAAGGAAGCATACTTTCTGGTTTGATGTTACTTAAAAGTGCAAACAACTGTAAGGGGAAACATTGTTTGGTTGATGAGAGATACCTCTCCAGCTGATTCTCCAAGCCACGGTGTTGGCATTGTAAATGCTTTATCAAATAACTACGGTTTCACCCATCCCTGTGTTTTAACATACTTGCTGGAAAATGGCCTGTGAATACCCATTACACAATTGTATTCACATTGGCTGGATGGTATTCCTCTGCTAAGGGACTCTTGCCTTTCACTGAAGTTAATTGGGGGAGGAGGGTGTAGAAACACTATAGTAGATTCACTGTCGAAGATCAACAATGACCTTGAAAAAAATCATGGTTAATCTTCCCTTGGGGAAACCCTAATTAATGCAATATAACGGTCATCTGTGTATGCAGAGTTCTGTTAATGTGTGCTTGTACAATATACAGGATCCTGCTGTACATGGAGCCTGCTGGTCCTCTGTAGCTCAGTTGGTAGAGCATGGCTCTTGCAACGCCAGGCTAGTGCGTTCGAATCCCAGGACCACCCCATACGTAATAAATGTATGCACGCATGACTAAGTCGCTTTGGATAAAAGCGTCTGCTAAATGGCAGATATTATAATTATATAATTGTACACTAAGCCCCTGAGAGGTAGAACACACACAGCTGTGTGGAATGAGAGAGGGTGTGAAGCAGACACACTGAGGGAGGAAGAGATGTGTTAACTGTGTAAAGGCTGCCAGAGGCACTACTGCAGTAATAACAGGTTAATTAAGAGAGAGAGAGAGAGAGAGAGAGAGAGAGAGAGAGAGAGAGAGAGAGAGAGAGAGAGAGAGAGAGAGAGAGAGAGAGAGAGAGAGAATAGTAGACAATATTCCCAGTGCTATGTAGGCGCAGTAAAAAAAATGCTTGCATCTGCTTTCTTCCTCCTTTAAATCAGTTGACTAATAAATCTCAAGTAAAACACTTAGGTTAATTACTACATTTAAAAATTACATCCTGAGAAAAAAAACTAGAGAATCAGCAGAAAAGGAGTACTTACTTTTGGAATACAAAAATTCCTATAACTACAGTGAAGGAGATGAGATCAGCAGCGACCCAGATCAGACAGTATTCATCTGGACTCTGAAACGCAACATGGCAGCATTAGACCACCAGGTGGCACTGTCTCCTAAAACAACTCACAGGCAGGTAACAAACCTAGAACAAAGCATACCTTCCTAAAATTATGTAATATTGAAATTAATATAATATTGTGGTACAGTAATTAATGTGTAATGCATAATGGACTAGTTATTCAAATGAGCTCCAAGTTAACAAAAGAGAATACTCTAGTCAGAATATTGTAAAACTAGGAGTGAAAGGACAATTTAATTAAGTTCCACATTCACCTAAATCCCATACTACCAGACAAGGAGGGTGTAGGTAGTGGCCATATTGACTAGCTAACAGACAGAGACAGACAGGGTGGGTAACAGATGCAGTGCTATCCTGAACTCCATGTGAATCTCACCCAGGATGGGCTCTATTCTCTAGTCTGCACCACCCACAGTGTTTCCTGCTGGGAGTCAGTCTGCTAACCCAGAGAGGGGTGCCAGGAGGGCCTGGGGCGGTGTGGGTGATAGGGGGTGCTGTGGGGGTAATGGTGTGGGTGCTAGGGGGTGCTGTGGGGGTAATGTGTGGGTGCTAGGTGGGTGCTGTGGGGGTGCTGTGAGGGACTTACCATGAGCCAGATGGGGTAAGGCACCTTTTTGAGGATGTTGGGGGCTTCAGAGGAGACAGAGGAGATCCCGCTGCACCAGAGCACAGAAAACAGCCAGGGCTCGTTGACCGTGTACAGAGTCACGCTCACGTTGCTCCTGGAGAACTCTCTGGGGGGTGCAGACAGACACATTCATATTTCAGACACACATATACAGAAGAAGCACACACAGTGCGTGTGTGTCTGTGGATGTGTGTATGTGTGTATGTTAACCCACCGGATGTCATAGGGGCTGGCCTGGCTGTAGCGTAGCAGTAGTCTGCTGATTCCCTGCTGGTGAAGGACCTGAGGAGGCAGCTTCTCTACTGACGTCTGCTGCAGCCCTGGAGCCACCTGTCTTACCTGCCCCCTGTCCCAGTCTGGGGTCCACATCACCTGTACAGACACACACACACACACAGAGACAGACACAGAAAGACACAGACACAGACGACAGACACAGAGACGACAGTCACAGCTCAGATTAGTTATGGGACATGTAGATGTGCAGTTAGTGACATCAGTGATGACAAAGTAATGATTATTACATTGGTGACATTGATGAATGTCACAGGCAATCTTCAGGTCAGCCTCAAGCTGACAGTAGTCAGTTCCATCTCTCTACTATGAGTTGTGTTTTCCTCCTCTTGATTTCCATAGATAACCCAAGGGGACAGTGTCTGAGCCCTAACAAGTTTCTGTCCACTATCTAATAATAATAATAATAATAATAATAATATTATTATATGCCATTTAGCAGACACTTTTATCCAAAGCAACTTACAATCACGTGTGCATACATTTTAAGTATGGGTGGTCCCGGGAATCAAACCCACTACCTTGGCATTACAAGTGCCATTGCTCTACCAACTGAGCTACAAAGGACCACTATCTCAGTCGGGTACACTAGTGTTGTCTTCCTCTTTCTATACCACAACACAACCCCCCCCCCCCCCCCCCAAGGGGAACAGTGTGTGATGCCGGTCTCACCAGGTGCTGTGGTATCCCAGACAGGCGTACGACCTCCAGGGTATCGTTGATCCAGCTGTGGTAGCAGGGGTGTCCGTGCGGAGGTCGGCGCAGGTTGAACACCACTGTGTGGTTATGGAGGGCGGCTAGCCTCAGCAGCTGCTCCAGACTACACACACTCTGGTTCCCCACCAGCATCACCTCCCTCTGAGCCATGGACTGGACCGTCCAGAATGGGTCGTCCTAGAAGACAACGCACACAGGTACTCACAGTCAAGCTAATCAATTTAGTGTATTTCTAGATTTACATGGCAATCGTAATAATACACCACTTTATGATGAGAGATGAGATCAGGGTTTGAGTCAATTTTATTTTAACTCAATCCAGGGAAGTAATCTTGATTGATAAAATTGGGCAATTTCTCCACTTCATTAATGAGGTTTCCTATCAGCCGTGTGGCAATGAAATGGACCCAAAGCATGGAGGAGAAATATAGGCCTAGTGAAAGAAAGGGTGGTGTGAGGTCCTACAAAGATACATTTACTGCATGCTTACATTTGGTTAGAAACCTTCAGAAAGAGAGAAAGATTGCATAAGACTCCCTAGCAGGGGTGTGACAGACAGTACCATTCCTCCCTAGCGGGGGTGTGACAGACAGTACCATTCCTCCCTAGCGGGGGTGTGACAGACAGAACCATTCCTCCCTAGCGGGGGTGTGACAGACAGTACCATTCCTCCCTAGCGGGGGTGTGACAGACAGTACCATTCCTCCCTAGCGGGGGTGTGACAGACAGAACCATTCCTCCCTAGCGGGGGTGTGACAGACAGTACCATTCCTCCCTAGCGGTGTTGTGACAGACAGTACCATTCCTCCCTAGCGGGGGTGTGACAGACAGTACCATTCCTCCCTAGCGGGGGTGTGACAGACAGAACCATTCCTCCCTAGCGGGGGTGTGACAGACAGTACCATTCCTCCCTAGCGGTGTTGTGACAGACAGTACCATTCCTCCCTAGCGGTGTTGTGACAGACAGTACCATTCCTCCCTAGTGGGGGTGTGACAGTACCATTCCTCCCTAGTGGGGGTGTGAGTAACAGTGTGGTACCTTGAGGAACCACTGGCCGGCGTTGAGGCTGTGCAAGTCTGTCCAGTTGAAGGAGGAGACATCGTCCAGCTGTCTGGCAGGAAACACCTTCCCCACGTCTGTAGTCCTCCTCAAGGTGCGGTCTCGCATCAGAAACGGCACACCGTCAAGGCTAGGACAGGAAAGAGTTAAACAGTCAGGTCTACCAATACAATAGTATATTCAGTGCTGTACAGTGTTCAACATCATATGGTCATCTTATTCCTCAGAATCTCACAGATGTTTATATCCCCTGATAATTTGTGTTTCTAAGTGGAAGTTCTTACAACAGAAATACTGAATGCTCTCAAGGGAAGCCCAAAAACACTTCAATCATGAAGGGAAAAGACAAGAGCTGTTTGAGGCAAAACTCACTTTACATGAAAGCTACTTTCATGTTGCTTGCGTTACCTTCACTTTGAATGCCAAATCATTTTCCCGCCTTTTCAGTTAACCTCAGGTTGTAAGACATGGAAAACAAAAACACATTACCTACACTTGGAATTGTTAGTCAAATTCACAACTAGAATCACAACACTTTCGTAAGATTCCATCCCAAGCAAGCAACGAAATCGGACCAAAAACATAATTCATCATCGTTTTCAATGACCATTTAGCGTGACTGAAACGTTCAATTAGTGCCTGAATGACCTCTGTCCCTTCGTGTGTGTGTGTGTCTGTCTGTGTACATGCGTGCATAGGTCTCCTGTGTCTCTGGTCAGGAGGATGTATAGAGCCTGGCTCAGGCCCTGTTCAGCTCCACCATGAGCTCAGTGCAGCCCAGAGCCCAGCCTACCTGTCATCAGCACGCACGTTTCCACCTCCCATTCATCTTAATTAGGGCCGCACAGGCACCAGAGAGAGTGGAGGAATGTATACACACGCTAAATGAGATTTCACGAACACAAAGGCAAAGACAGAAACACACGTGGCTACATTGAGGGAAAAAAGTATTTGATCCCCTGCTGATTTTGTACGTTTGCCCACTGACAAAGAAATGATCAGTCTATAATTTTAATGGTAGGTTTATTTGAACAGTGAGAGACAGAATAACAACAAAAAAATCCAGAAAAACGCATGTCAAAAATGTTATAAATTGATTTGCATTTTAATGAGGGAAATAAGTATTTGACCCCCTCTCAATCAGAAAGATTTCTGGCTCCCAGGTGTCTTTTATACAGGTAACGAGCTGAGATTAGGAGCACACTCTTAAAGGGAGTGCTCCTAATCTCCGTTTGTTACCTGTATAAAAGACACCTGTCCACAGAAGCAATCAATCAATCAATCAGATTCCAAACTCTCCACCATGGCCAAGACCAAAGAGCTCTCCAAGGATGTCAGGGACAAGATTGTAGACCTACACAAGGCTGGAATGGGCTACAAGACCATCGCCAAGCAACTTGGTGAGAAGGTGACAACAGTTGGTGCGATTATTCGCAAATGGAAGAAACACAAAATAACTGTCAATCTCCCTCGGCCTGGGGCTCCATGCAAGATCTCACCTCGTGGAGTTGCAATGATCATGAGAACGGTGAGGAATCAGCCCAGAACTACACGGGAGGATCTTGTCAATGATCTCAAGGCAGCTGGGACCATAGTCACCAAGAAAACAATTGGTAACACACTACGCCATGAAGGACTGAAATCCTGCAGCGCCTGCAAGGTCCCCCTGCTCAAGAAAGCACATATACAGGGCCGTCTGAAGTTGGCCAATGAACATCTGAATGATTCAGAGGAGAACTGGGTGAAAGTGTTGTGGTCAGATGAGACCAAAATCGAGCTCTTTGGCATCAACTCAACTCGCCGTGTTTGGAGGAGGAGGAATGCTGCCTATTACCCCAAGAACACCATCCCCACCGTCAAACATGGAGGTGGAAACATTATGTTTTGGGGGTGTTTTTCTGCTAAGGGGGCAGGACAACTTCACCGCATCAAAGGGACGATGGACGGGGCCATGTACCGTCAAATCTTGGGTGTGAACCTCCATCCCTCAGCCAGGGCATTGAAAATGGGTCATGGATGGGTATTCCAGCATGACAATGACCCAAAACACACGGCCAAGGCAACAAAGGAGTGGCTCAAGAAGAAGCACATTAAGGTCCTGGAGGGGCCTAGCCAGTCTCCAGACCTTAACCCCCATAGAAAATCTGCGGAGGGAGCTGAAGGTTCGAGTTGCCAAACGTCAGCCTCGAAACCTTAATGACTTGGAGAAGATCTGCAAAGAGGAGTGGAACAAAATCCCTCCTGAGATGTGTGCAAACCTGGTGGCCAACTACAAGAAACGTCTGACCTCTGTGATTGCAAACAAGGGTTTTGTCACCAAGTACTAAATCATGTTTTGCAGAGGGGTCAAATACTTATTTCCCTCATTAAAATGCAAATCAATTTATAACATTTTTGACATGCGTTTTTCTGGATTTTGTTGTTGTTATTCTGTCTCTCACTGTTCAAATAAACCTACCATTAAAATTATAGACTGATGATGTCTTTGTCAGTGGGCAAACGTACAAAATCAGCAGGGGATCAAATACACTGCTCAAAAAAATAAAGGGAACACTTAAACAACACAATGTAACTCCAAGTCAATCACACTTCTGTGAAATCAAACTGTCCACTTAGGAAGCAACACTGATTGACAATAAATGTCACATGCTGTTGTGCAAATGGAATAGACAACAGGTAAAAATTATAGGCAATTAGCAAGACACCCCCAATAAAGGACTGGTTTTGCAGGTGGTGACCACAGACCACTTCTCAGTTCCTATGCTTCCTGACTGATGTTTTGGTCACTTTTGAATGCTGGCGGTGCTTTCACTCTAGTGGTAGCATGAGACGGAGTCTACAACCCACACAAGTGGCTCAGGTAGTGCAGCTCATCCAGGATGGCACATCAATGCGAGCTGTGGCAAGAAGGTTTGCTGTGTCTATCAGCGTAGTGTCCAGAGCATGGAGGCGCTACCAGGAGACAGGGCAGTACATCAGGAGACGTGGAGGAGGCCGTAGGAGGGCAACAACCCAGCAGCAGGACTGCTACCTCCGCCTTTGTGCAAGGAGGAGCAGGAGGAGCACTGCCAGAGCCCTACAAAATGACCTCCAGCAGGCCACAAATGTGCATGTGTCTGCTCAAACGGTCAGAAACAGACTCCATGAGGGTGGTATGAGGGCCCGACGTCCACAGGTGTGGGTTGTGCTTACAGCCCAACACCGTGCAGGACATTTGGCATTTGCCAGAGAACACCAAGATTGGCAAAATAGCCACTGGCGCCCTGTGCTCTTCACAGATGAAAGCAGGTTCACACTGAGCACGTGACAGACGTGACAGTCTGGAGATGCCGTGGAGAACATTCTGCTGCCTGCAACATCCTCCAGCATGACCGGTTTGGCGGTGGGTCAGTCATGGTGTGGGGTGGCATTTCTTTGGGGGGCCGCACAGCCCTCCATGTGCTCGCCAGAGGTAGCCTGACTGCCATTAGGTACCGAGATGAGATCCTCAGACCCCTTGTGAGACCATATGCTGGTGCGGTTGGCCCTGGGTTCCTCTTAATGCAAGACAATGCTAGACCTCATGTGGCTGGAGTGTGTCAGCAGTTCCTGCAAGAGGAAGGCATTGATGCTATGGACTGGCCCGCCCGTTCCCCAGACCTGAATCCAATTGAGCACATCTGGGACATCATGTCTCGCTCCATCCACCAATGCCACGTTGCACCACAGACTGTCCAGGAGTTGGCGGATGCTTTAGTCCAGGTCTGGGAGGAGATCCCTCAGGAGACCATCCGCCACCTCATCAGGAGCATGCCCAGGCGTTGTAGGGAGATCATACAGGCACGTGGAGGCCACACACACTACTGAGCCTCATTTTGACTTGTTTTAAGGACATTACATCAAAGTTGGATCAGCCTGTAGTGTGGTTTTCCACTTTAATTTTGAGGGTGACTCCAAATCCAGACCTCCATGGGTTGATACATTTGATTTCCACTGATCATTTTTGTGTGATTTTGTTGTCAGCACATTCAACTATGTAAAGAAAAAGTATTTAATAAGATTATTTCATTCATTCAGATCTAGGATGTGTTATTTTAGTGTTCCCTTTATATTTTTGAGCAGTGTACTTTTTTCCCCGCACTGTACATACAATCACACATTCATAAACATGGCACAAAATGAAAAGCACACAGACACACACACACCACACTAGTACCTGTATGCATAGGTCTATGCGTACACACACACACACTACGTCCAACTCATTCACAAACACCACCTCTCTATTGGATTTGCTCTTCTAGCTCATCTTGTCATCTCATGTTATCTAAAAACAGCCATGAGTCTATGAAAGTGCTGTCCTGGCCGCTGCTACTACTACTACTAAAACTGCTAGTACCGCCACCGCTCACTGACTGGTAATAAGCGGCCGAATCCTGGACAGGAGACCCAGACCAGCAGTATGACACTGGCTGACCTGTGCTTGGCTGGACTTCCCTATCAACCACAGCAGACTGGACTGGACTTCCCTATCAACCACAACAGACTGGACTGGACTTCCCTATCAACCACAGCAGACTGGACTGGACTTCCCTATCAACCACAGCAGACTGGACTGGACTTCCCTATCAACCACAGCAGACTGGACTGGACTTCCCTATCAACCACAGCAGACTGGACTGGACTTCCCTATCAACCACAGCAGACTGGACTGGACTTCCCTATCAACCACAGCAGACTGGACTGGACTTCCCTATCAACCACAGCAGACTGGACTGGACTTCCCTATCAACCACAGCAGACTGGACTGGACTTCCCTATCAACCACAGCAGACTGGACTGGACTTCCCTATCAACCACAGCAGACTGGACTGGACTTCCCTATCAACCACAGCAGACTGGACTTCCCTATCAACCACAGCAGACTGGACTGGACTTCCCTATCAACCACAGCAGACTGGACTGGACTTTTCTATCAACCACAACAGACTGGACTGGACTTCCCTATCAACCACAGGAGACTGGACTGGACTTCCCTATCAACCACAACAGACTGGACTTCTCGCTGTCTCTCCCTGCAGCTCCCTATTGATCTAGTTTGGCTGCACTGTGAGTCTCTTTCGGTGTGTGTATACCTGATGGCCACGTCAGCCTCTAGCCCACTGACGTTCATCTGCAGAGCCCTCTGGAAGGACAGGATGGTGTTCTCTGGAGCCAGCTACAGACAGATGGAGGAACATCATCAGCACACTGTCTAGACATATATTGATGTTTCATGGAGGTCAGAGAGGTTTCATATACCTTACTGCAATCTGAGAGTTCACAGGTTTATATAGGTTTCAGAAGTCTAACAATCCTTTTAAAAGCGCCATTTTCACATATGTTGTTGGGGTGGTGCTGGAGGTGATGAATGTGAAGTTGACATTTAAATTTGTTTTCCCTTTAAATGGGTGTGAGGAAACTTGGAGAATGTATTCCAGTTAAAAGTCATGGGTTATGAGCTCATATGCTTACAACAACAGACTATTGAACATATACTGACTGGTGCAATACAAGATACTAGGCCACATGGGTCAAACTGATAACGGTCAGTGATTCTGTAGGTCAAACTGATAACGGTCAGTGATACTGTAGGTCAAACTGATAACGGTCAGTGATACTGTAGGTCAAACTGATAACGGTCAGTGATACTGTAGGTCAAACTGTCTAATACTGTGAGGGGACTGGACTGGAAACCTGGGAAAAAAACAGAGTGGGTCATGTGATGTGTCCTGGGGGAGTTCTCAGGTCTTTAAGACTTAATTCCTCCACAGTGTTTTACTTCTGGGGTGATAAACTTCTGCAACATGCCCCAACCGGCTGGCTGGGGAGCAGAGCAGGGGTGTGTCTCTGTCTGCAGCTCGTTGGATGGATGGGTCATGTGTTTGTGTGTACGAGTCGTTAGGACATGGTTTCCCACACTAGGGGTCGCCTGATTTGAAAATGGGGTCGCGAGACAACTTTTTCACTTGGTTCATCGAACCCGGGGTTATATCAGTAACCTCCAGTAGCTGCTAGATTAGGTTGTAATAAACAGAGCGGTTTCTGTTTTCTTCGTACAAATGTGGCTCTATCTTTTGAATGGTTTAAGCTACAAAATATGATGAACCCATCACTGAAAGACACGACTCTCAGGAACAGGTAGGTAAAAATGCAGCACAACATTAAATGAAGAAATGCTAGACATTGAATCATATAAAATCTTGCTTCTATAGGTTGAGCTGATAGATGGAGCTGATAGGTTAAGTGCTCTCACATACAGTAGCCTATAGCTTCCTTATAGTGCTTACAGAAAGCCCAGAAGTCTGTTTACCAGCTATTCCTGGGCTACTTAGTGTGAAGGAAGTGAGTGGGTGGAAATATGAAGATACATTGTTGGACAGCATTGTTTCTCTAGTGCCCTTTATGAAGGTTACATCTCTGTGGGTCTGTTATTGTATACTCTATAAGCATAGCGTATGAGGTGCCTCCGCCTACATGCCCTCTGATTGGGCAGCTGGTTCAGCTGACTCACCATGGGTGCGCCCTGGTGGCCAATGACATCAGGGCGTGGTTTGAGGTTGGCGTGGTCCATGATGCAGGGGGAGGTGATGGAGAGGGGGGCCATGTAGAGGCCTAGTAGAACACTCAGGTAGAGCAGGAGAACCACCACCTGGAACCCTGGGCAGGGGGTAGAACACAACATGGATGTAGAATGAATAGAAACCCTGGACAGGGGGTAGAACACAACATAGATGTAGAATGAATAGAAACCCTGGGGAGGGGTAAAACGCAACATAGATGTAGAATTAATAGAAACCATGGGGAGGGTGACTAATAAATAGAATACCCAAGTATATAGAATAGCTATGGCCGAAAGGATCAATGTCATGGAATACTTTTTTGATCTTGTCACAGATGTCTATTGTACTGAGATGGTCAAGGACCAAAATAAATAGCACTCCTGAATGTAGCTTATCTATGGGCAAGAAGACCATTCACTGAATGTTTCTAAACATTTTACGTGGCCAGTTTGGGTTGAGATATATATGGTGAGAAAGCCAGCCAGCCAGTACACACACTTGTGCTGTACTGCAGGTAAGTGATGATGAATGTAGCTAGGTCAGATTAATTTCAATTGTCTGCGTCAGAAGAACTCTTGTTACAAGGCTGAAAGCCTTCACCCTCTGCCGTCAGAACCTCTGGCATTCAGACAGTGGTCCGCCAGCTAGCTGCACAGCTAACCTCACGTCCAGGAACCAACACCTTGTAAGCATGACTGAGTAACTGAAATAATATCTATGTTAAAGAGACATATACTGTATTTCAATAAGATTAGCCTGGTCAAATGTACATGGATGAACATAATTACAGGCTTTTTAAGATTGTACGTGAATAAGACAAATAATACAACTCTTTGGTAAGAGTTACTGTGAGTAAACAGAATAATACAACTCTTTGGTAAGATTATGTGAGTAAACAGCAATAATACAACTCTTTGGTAAGAGTTACTGTGAGTAAACAGAATAAAATAACAACTCTTTGGTAAGAGTTACTGTGAGTAAACAGAATAATACAACTCTTTGGTAAGAGTTACTGTGAGTAAACAGAATAATACAACTCTTTGGTAAGAGTTACTGTGAGTAAACAAATAATACAACTCTTTGGTAAGAGTTACTGTGAGTAAACAGAATAATACAACTCTTTGGTAAGAGTTACTGTGAGTAAACAAATAATACAACTCTTTGGTAAGAGTAGAGTTACTGTGAGTAAACAGAATAATACAACTCTTTGGTAAGAGTTACTGTGAGTAAACAGAATAATACAACTCTTTGGTAAGAGTTACTGTGAGTAAACAGAATAATACAACTCTTTGGTAAGAGTTACTGTGAGTAAACAGAATAATACAACTCTTTGTAAGAGTTACTGTGAGTAAACAGAATAATACAACTCTTTGGTAAGAGTTACTGTGAGTAAACAGAATAATACAACTCTTTGGTAAGAGTTACTGTGAGTAAACAGAAGAGTTACTGTGAGTAAACATATTAATACAACTCTTTGGTAAGAGTTACTGTGAGTAAACACAATAATACAATTCTTTGGTAAGAGTTACTGTGAGTAAACAGAATAATACAACTCTTTGGTAAGAGTTACTGTGAGTAAACAGAATAATACAACTCTTTGGTAAGAGTTACTGTGAGTAAACATAATAATACAACTCTTTGGTAAGAGTTACTGTGAGTAAACACAATAATACAACTCTTTGGTAAGAGTTACTGTGAGTAAACAGAATAATACAACTCTTTGGTAAGAGTTACTGTGAGTAAACACAATAATACAACTCTTTGGTAAGAGTTACTGTGAGTAAACAGAATAATACAACTCTTTGGTAAGAGTTACTGTGAGTAAACAGAATAATACAACTCTTTGGTAAGAGTTACTGTGAGTAAACAGAATAATACAACTCTTTGGTAAGAGTTACTGTGAGTAAACAGAATAATACAACTCTTTGGTAAGAGTTACTGTGAGTAAACAGAATAATACAACTCTTTGGTAAGAGTTACTGTGAGTAAACAGAATAATACAACTCTTTGGTAAGAGTTACTGTGAGTAAACACAATATTACAACTCTTTGGTAAGAGTTACTGTGAGTAAACAGAAGAGTTACTGTGAGTAAACAGAATAATACAACTCTTTGGTAAGAGTTACTGTGAGTAAACAGACTGCTGGGGCTTTGTGTCCTTGCACAACAATCCACTGTTCTACCCAAATACAGAGTATAAAAAATGAAAATGGAGTGTCTATAAACTACAACTGAATATTCATGAAAGTTATTTGCCTCCAAAAACAACAGCACTGACGATTCAGTATTTAATCTAAGGGGATCTCAAAGCACCTCAAACACTCCTCTGCCTCCCTTGTACTAGTCTCTGATAGATTTAAAAGGAAGGTGTAAGGCAGAAATACCCCAGTACTTGATGTCTAACTGGCCGTGTCAACAGATCTCAGGGGCCTAATAATGTCCTGTGGACTGGTGGTGTCACGTGAGGCCAGAAGAATGCCTAGTATCCCTGCCACCCTGACGGGGGCCTGGTGGGGCTTTGCCCTTTGTGTACATGGTGTTAATCATTTAACGCCCACAGCTCTATGAGGCTGTTTAGTCATCTGGCAGTAGTAGCTGAGCTTTGATCAGTGAGGTGGACAGTCAGTAACATGGTCTAGTGTTGTCACGATACCAGATTTTTGACTTTGATACCGATACCAGGTTTAGTATCATAATACTCAATACCGAAACGATACCCAATACCAAAACGATACCACGGCAACAAAAAAATAAAGCGTATTAGCTAAAGTCATAGAATAACCACTGGGCTTTCTTTTTTTAAAATATTGAACAATATGTTGATAACTGGTAGAACAACTAAAATAACAAATAGAATATATTATATTTTCAATTTCTTGCTAAAATAAAACACCATATTAAATAACAGAATAATACCTTAAATGCCCAGAGTACATTTCACTTCCCATGGTGCAATGGGCTGCTGGCTGGCTAGTGGCTACTGCTAGCAAGCACAGACAAACGTGAAGAAGTGTAAATATATTGTGGTCAAGTTCTGAGCACATTTCACCTTACTGTAATCATATTATAATGCTCACATTAATGTCATGCTGAATATAGTATATTGCAATGTTCCCTCTAATTTTTGAAAGCACTGAGCAAATTTCAGGTCTGCTGAGCGCAAACTTGAACGTTGTGAAAATTCTGTGCAACTTCCAGCGCGTGTTTACTGTGAACACTGAAGCTAAGTTACAGTTTTAACAGTGGCCAAGTAGGCTACTGTAGCTATTTGATCATAATGTAGGCCTACCAGAGTGGCCTACCATCAAAACCAATGGATAAAATGCATCCCATTACATTTCAAATTTTATTTGTCACATGCACCGAATACAACAGGTGTAGTAGGTAGCTTAGTGGTTAAGAGCGTTGTGCCAGTAACCGAAAGGTCGCTGGTTCTAATCCCCGAGCCGACTAGGTGAAAAATCTGTCGATGTGCCCTTGAGCAAGGCACTTAACCCTAATTGCTCCTGTAAGTCGCTCTGGATAAGAGCGTCTGCTAAATGACCAAAAATGTTTTAAAAAAAAATGTGTAGACCTTACCGTGAAATGCTTACTTACAAGCCCTTAACCAACAATGCAGTTTTAAGAAAAATAAGAGTTTACTAAATAAACTAAAGTAAAAAAACAAAAGAACAACAATAAAATAACAATAACGAGGCTATATACAGGGGGTACCGGTAGCGAGTCAATGTGCGGGGGGCACAGGTTAGACGAGGTAATAAACTCAGCAAAAAAAGAAACGTCCCTTTTTCAGGACCCTGTCTTTCAAAGATAATTCGTAAAAATCCAAATAACTTCACAGATCTTCATTGTAAAGGGTTTAAACACTGTTTCCCATGCTTGTTCAATTAACCATAAACAATTAATGAACATGCACCAGTGGAACGGTCGTTAAGACACTAACAGCTTACAGACAGTAGACAATTAAGGTCACAGTCATGAATACTTAGGACACTAAAGAGGCCTTTCTACTGACTCTGAAAAACACAAAAAGAAAGATGCCCAGGGTCCCTGCTCATCTGCGTGAACGTGCCTTAGGCATGCTGCAAGGAGGCATGAGGACTATAAATTGCAATGTCCGTACTGTGAGACGCCTAAGACAGTGCTACAGGGAGACAGGACGGACAGCTGATCGTCCTCGCAGTGGCAGACCACGTGTAACAACACCTGCACAGGATCGGTACATCCAAACATCACACCTGCGGGACAGGTACAAGATGGCAACAACAACTGCCCGAGTCCCTCCATCAGTACTCAGACTGTCTGCAATAGGCTGAGAGAGGCTGGACTGAGGGCTTGTAGGCCTGTTGTAAGGCAGGTCCTCACCAGACATCACCGACAACGTCACCTATGGGCACAAACCCACCGTCGCTGGACCAGATAGGACTGGCAGAAAGTGCTCTTCACTGACGAATCGCGGTTTTCTCTCACCAGGGGTGATGGTCGGATTTGCGTTTATCGTCGAAGGAATGAGCGTTACACTGAGGCCTGTACTCTGGAGTGTGATCGATTTGGAGGTGGGTCTGGGGGGTGTGTCACACCCCCCAGACCGTTATGGTCTGGGGCGGTGTGTCACAGCATCATCGGACTGAGCTTGTTGTCATTGCAGGCAATCTCAACGCTGTGCGTTACAGGGAAGACATCCTCCTCCCTCATGTGGTACCCTTCCTACAGACTCATCCTGACATGACCCTCCAGCATGACAATGCCACCAGCCATACTGCTCGTTCTGTGTGTGAGTTCCTGCAAGACAGGAATGTCAGTGTTCTGCCATGGCCAGCGAAGAGCCCGGATCTCAATCCCATTGAGCACGTCTGGGACCTGTTGGCTAGGGCCATTCCCCCCAGAAATGTCTGGGAACTTGCAGGTTCCTTGGTGGAAGAGTGGGGTAACATATCACAGCAAGAACTGGCAAATCAGCCCATGAGGAGGAGATGCACTGCAGTACTTAATGCAGCTGGTGGCCACACCAGATACTGACTGTTACGTTTGATTTTGACCCCCCCCCCCCCCCCTTTGTTCAGGGACACATTATTCAATTTCTGTTAGTCACATGTCTGTGGAACTTGCAAATAGTCCGGGTAGCCATTTAATTAGCTGTTCAGCAGTCTTATGGCTTGGGGGTAGAATCTGTGAAGAAGCCTTTTGGACCTAGACTTGGCGCTCCGTTACCGCTTGCCGTGCGGTAGCAGAGAGAACAGTCTATGACAAGGGTGGCTGGAGTCTTTGGCAAGTTTTAGGGCCTTCCTCTGACACCGCCTGGTATAGAGGTCCTGGATGGCAGGAAGCTTGGACCCAGTGATGTACTGGGCCGTACACACTACCTCTGTAGCGCCTTGCAGTCAGAGGCCGAGCAGTTGCCATACCAGGCGGCGATGCAACCAGTCAGGATGCTCTCGATAGTGCAGCTGTAGAACCTTTTGAGGATCTGAGGACCCATACCAATTTTTACATGGAAATAGCTGTTCTATCATTCAGCCTAGAGTTGCAGTCAACATGTGGTGTTCAATGTAGGCCTACATTCCATGAGACTTTTTTAAAAAAACATGCAGGGCTTGAGATTAACCTGTTTATCCACAAGGTGGTGACTGAAAATGTTTGTGTTGTTTGATGCAAGAAGCCACTTTACAAAATAAAATGCACTATTATTACAGAGAATCAGACAAATTATGCTACCCTCTGCCTATTGGCTACTTAGCTTATTCAAGCCTGTCTCAAAATACAACACCGCCCCTTTAAGACAAAAAAAAAGCTATTTACCTGACTTGTTTTTCAAAGATGTCTAGAAATGTACACATGTTGTGCTTTTGTAGGAAGCAATCACTCCCCTATTGCAGACTACATATTATCTATAACTGGCTTGCTTCTTAAAAGTGGCTTGCGCTGTGTCAGCTGCATGTGCAAGCGCAAGTAGCCTGGCTAGCTTACTACTGCCCACTTGAGAAGATTCAGACAAATTACTAAACAGACTCAACCCTCTCAATCCGTATATGATGTGAGACACATTTGACAGAAGTACCAAAGGTAACAAAAATAACTCACTAACTAGCAAAGGATATGAACAAAATGTGCACACGTGACTACATGCAGCCCTTGCTTTGATCTCAAAACAAGCGCATCTACTCACGACCACAGCTGTAAACACAGTCCAGTTCAACGTAAATGGCACAGACCCATATATGGTAATGGTGTATTTGCATATAGGCCTACTGCAGCTCTGATTGGTTATGCCGCACCAGTCTGGGTAGAGTAAGGGCTGAGACATGCATGTCAATGCAATAGAATCCTACTCCGATGCGTTCTGCTTACAACAAAATTTCTTGCCTAGTTCGTTTTGTTTCGGTGTGTTGCATTGAAAGTGGCTAATATTGCGTTGATCCGATCACAATTGCCACAGTAAAGGGAAATGTTGATAGTGTTAACTAAAGGGGAAAACTCTAGAAAGTTGAGTGAAGTTCAATCTTGTGCTTCTCTCCAGCTGATAGTTGTTCTGTGCAGCAGTCCCAGGGGGTACATTGGTATATTGTAATGAAACAGGGATGGGATTGCGGCTCAAACCCTCTACCTTCTGGCCTGAAGCCCAGCGCGCCATCGACTGTGCCACAAAAGCATCCTCCAGTGGCAGTCGATATCCGCGCTTATAAACTAGGGTCGCAACACAACTCCCTCCTTTCAAAGAGCGCGTCCTCGCGCTAGACCTCACAGGACACCGTCTTACAGGAAAACGCTCACCGGCCAAGCACACGCACTGTCGTGGACGCGAGGTCCGATCACTTCCGACACCAATGTAATGAAACTAATGTAATGAACCCTCAATGTAATGAACCCTCAACCTTATGGCCCGAAGCCCAGCGCGCCATCCACTGTGGCACAAAAGCATGCTCGAGTGGCAGAGTCGTTATCCGTGCTTATAAACCAGGGTCACTACAATACGTTCATGTCATTGTCACTCAAAAATACACCACCTTTACCTTAGTTGTTTCAGTGGGCTTGCCCACATCATCTGCTCTGCAAGCAAAGTATTCCTATAGTTCACCCCTGCAGCCAGTTTTGTCAACAAGCTGCGGGTGTGGAGGTATGATGTTTTCTTTTGAAGAAACTATGCTGTTGTTATCTCGCCTATCGCTTGCTTCTTAAAAGTGGCTCGCACTGTGTCAGACAAATGACTAAACAGACTCAATCCTCTCGATCCGTATATGACGTGAGACACATTTGACAGAAGGTAACAAAAATTATATTACCAGACCGTATTTCATGTTCTAGTATTGAAAAAGTACAGAAATGTATACTTTGCAACACTAACATGGTCAGTAACACAGTCTGGGTTGGGTCTTACTTGTTTTCTCAGCGCGGGCGACCTGCCCAGCCACCAGCCAGGCCAGAGCGGTGACAGCCACCAGGGCTCCTAGGTGTAGGAAGGGACCTGTGGCCTGGACAGGGGACATCATTCAGTGTTAAAGGTGTGGCATTGCTAGTCATTCATAGTTGTTAAATGGTACGACAAACAAAATAATTCAGTGGTAATGGTAGGCTACTGCATGATTACTACAACCATAAATAATTAAATAAGATAAATCAATGAACCCCTTGAATCAGTCTTAATAACACATCTGTTAGACGCATTTCTATATTGAATGTTGCCGTTGTATGTAGTTCAATACAGTCGTTAACATGTGCTTTATCAAGTATATAAACACATATCAGGAACGTGTCCTGTATAATACAGTATGATGCACAGCCCTAAAGGGGGACATGTTGTTTAACTCACCTGGAGTGATATAGGGATGACTGCCCACTCCTCCCCCCATGTTTGATTGACAGATATGAATCCGATGGCAGTGGTCAGAAGGGCAGTACTCACTCCTATCTATGGGGGCAAACAGAGTGTTACAGACCATCGCATGCACACACAGACACACACACACTGCCCCCCCAGGCTAACCATTCCAACCCTCTGTAGTGTGTTTGGCCAGATAACAGCACCCTGGGGCATGATGTCACTGCTTTCACAACCCCCAGGAAAACATGAACTCAAATGTGGGGTTCAGGCAGAGTTCAGTTGGCCACTTGAAGACACACACACAGTATACAGGCCATATCCACACATGCGCAATTACAGTCACAAACACTCAAGCACGTGCATACACAAACACACCAAAAATCACACACTTGAGCATTACCTTGTGCAGCCAGTGCAAGTTCAGCTGTTGTCCCACTGCTATGTGGCAAAGTGCTAAAATCTGAAAGAATAGAAACACATAAATCACATCACGTGGAGATCCACAGCCACTCGTCTCAAAACAGGTCAACAGCTGCCTGTGCCATCCTAACTTAAAAGTGTACTTGGCCCAGACATGCTTGGCAACACGTTTCTGCCCTGCCAGGTTACTCCCCTAACATTACCAGGCTGTTACCAGGGCCTAGACACCATATCGATATCATCTCACAGTGAATGTCTGATGAGATGACAACTCACCATTAAAAATGCAATATAAGTGAAGCCGGCAGCGGTCGTGGCCAGGATTGGAACGGTCCCATCGCTCCACTCCCCAGAGCGGTTATATAAAAACCTGTCAAACGGAAGTCAGTTACACAATAGTAGCATCTCATAGATATCAGGGCAGGCTGCAGCTAGTGCTCCTCTGGTCTCTGAGATGAGAGATAGATAGTAGAAACCAGCTGAGTGGGCTAACAGGAGTATGTGTTGACACTGATCTAAGGTCAGTTTTGTGTTTCCTCTAGTGGTTAAGGTTTAGATTCGGGGGAAGGGAAGCTGATCCCAGATATGTGCCTAAGGGGCAACTTCGAGCTTCTAGCCCCAGGGGTCTCTTTGTAACACTGAGGGAAATTAACTGGCTGACTATAAATGATCTAACAGCAGACACTGACGCTTAAACCGGAAGGCCTGAACTCCCCAGGCAGGCATAATGTGTTCTAGTGTCTTTGTCCAAGATGCTAGGCCTTTATTATCCCCATAAAACAAAGCAAACAGACAGACAAATAAACACAAAGGAAGCTGCTCAGAGCAAATGGCTGCAGTCGCTTCTTCTCTATAATGAGTATTGGAGCACAAAGAGATCATGTAATTACTGTGTTAACGGGTGGCGAGTTCGATGCATTGTTCTAAAAGGATGTTGTCTCCTTAAGGCTGTGTCTCCACACACAGGAGAGGAAGGGGAGGAACAAAGACATCATGCAGTACACACACTCAGAGGGATGCTCAACCATGGACACACACATACACACAAATGGCTGGGCTGGATGTCAGGCTGAGCGTTGTGACAGGGGGTCTCGGAGGGACTGGGCTGCCACAGCTGCAGGGGCAGCAGGGGGGAGTGTGGGGGCAGTGGGGGGGGGGAGTGTGGGGGCAGCGGGAGCGGGGGGAATGTGGGTGCAGCGGGAGCATGTGGGGGCAGCAGGGGGGTGTTGGGGCAGTGGAGGGGAGTGTGGGTGCAGCGGGAAAGGTGCCATTAATACAGGTAACAAGTGGAGGACAGAGGAGCCTCTTAAAGAAGAAGTTACAGGTCTGTGAGAGCCAGAAATCTTGCTTGTTTGTAGGTGACCAAATACTTATTTTCCACCATAATTTGCAACTAAATTCATTAAAAATCCTACAATGTGATTTTCTGGATTTTTTTTCTCAATTTGTCTGTCATAGTTGACGTGTAACTATGATGAAAATTACAGGCCTCTCTCATCTTTTTAAGTGGGAGAACTTGCACAATTGGTGGCTGACTAAATACTTTTTTCCCCCACTGTAATTAGTGGTGTGGGTTTTGCCCACATACAAGACCACTGATAATCTCCCTCGATCTGGGGCTCCACGCAAGATCTCACCCCGTGGGGTCAAAATGATCACAAGAACGGTGAGCAAAAATCCCAGAACCACACGGGAGGACCTAGTGAATGACCTGCAGAGAGCTGGGACCAAAGTAACAAAGCCTACCATCAGTAACACACTACGCCGCCAGGGACTCAAATCCTGCAGTGCCAGACGTGTCCCCCTGCTTAAGCCAGTACATGTCCAGGCCCGTCTGAAGTTTGCTAGAGTGCATTTGGATGATCCAGAAGAGGATTGGGAGAATGTCAGATGAAACCAAAATCGAACTTTTTGGTAAAAACTCACTTGTCGTGTTTGGAGGACAAAGAATGCTGAGTTGCATCCAAAGAACACCATACCTACTGTGAAGCATGGGGGTGGAAACATCATGCTTTGGGGCTGTTTTTCTGCAAAGGGACCAGGACGACTGATCCGTGTAAAGGAAATAATGAATGGGGCCATGTTTCGTGAGATTTTGAGTGAAAACCTCCTTCCATCAGCAAGGGCATTGAAGATGAAACGTGGCTGGGTCTTTCAGCATGACAATGATCCCAAACACACCGCCCGGGCAACGAAGGAGTGGCTTCGTAAGAAGCATTTCAAGGTCCTGGAGTGGCCTAGCCAGTCTCCAGATCTCAACCCCATAGAAAATCTTTGGAGGGAGTTGAAAGTCCGTGTTGCCCAGCGACAGCCCCAAAAACATCACTGCTCTAGAGGAGATCTGCATGGAGGAATGGGCCAAAATACCAGCAACAGTGTGTGAAAACCTTGTGAAGACTTACAGAAAACGTTTGACCTGTGTCATTGCCAACAAAGGGTATATAACAAAGTATTGAGAAACTTTTGTTATTGACCAAATACTTATTTTCCACCATAATTTGCAAATAAATTCATAAAAAATCCTACAATGTGATTTTCTGGATTTCTTTTTCTCATTTTGTCTGTCATAGTTGACGTGTACCTATGATGAAAATTACAGGCCTCTCTCATCTTTTTAAGTGGGAGAACATACACAATTGGTGGCTGACTAAATACTTTTTCCCCCACAGTATATCCCAATCCTTATCTGGGCTCTGTTGGCAGAGCCTGGCAGCCCCTACAACTACAGCAGAGCTACACAAAAGCCAGGCCACCACACGTGAAGGCTTCCTTTGAATACACTAGAAAAGACACGATATCTAACTGAGGCTAGGCCATAGGTGTGGGAGATAGTGGGAATAAAGGTGTCTGCATGCTTCCCAGCCAAAACAGATCAGAAGAGTTTGTGCATATATTATGACAACATTTTGTGACGTTTTTGTTCGTTTTGGACTTCGGCTATTCGGGCACACAAACATTTTTCTAGAGGTAAGCCTAAGTTCGGAGCCGAAGTCTACGCCCCTTCTACGGTGATTGTTCAACAGTAGGGATTCTTCAATAAAGTCTGTTGTCATTCATCAAGAGACGACTAGTTTTCATACACATTTTTTGTATTGAGAAATACTGCACCAAACATCTTAGTTAGATGTAAAATTGTGCAACTAAGATCTCCATGGCAAAAGCGTCAAAATGAATGACAGTTATTTTAGATTAATTCTGACTATTTTGAGGAAGCGTATACTGGCTACGGCGTCTCAAAATTACATTTTAGTCATTTAGCAGACGCTCTTATCCAGAGCGACTTACAGTTAGTGAGTGCATACATTTTTATTTTTTTCCATACTGGCCCCCCGTGGGAATCGAACCCACAACCCTGGCATTGCAAGCGCCATGCTCTACCAACTGAGCTACACGGGGCAAATCGTACTATTGCGGCTTTTTTCATTTTTTTCAAGTAAAGGTCTTTTAAGGGAGTATGCGAACACACTCGTTCGGTTCGGCTAGACGAGTTCGGCTAGGCGCTAGCTGAACTGAAGCATGCTGACGCCTTGAGAGAGAGAGAGTGTGTAGAGAGTGATAACAAAATTAAAGGAGAGAAAAGGAGAGAGGAGCAGAGAGATAAAGAGAATGAAAGGAGAGGGAGAAAGTGGGATGAGGGGGCAGGGAGAGATAAACAAGGAGCGAAGGACGATGGGGGAAGCAGAGGTGACTTTGAGCGGTAATGAGAGGAAGAGAAAGGAGGTGGTGGACAGAGAGAGAGTGAGGGGAATGACCTTGGGGGGACAAAGCAAATTGCACCTTACAAGAAGAAACAAAGCTTCTCTCTCTCTTAAGGCTCACACACATTGCACCGAATGTGTTTTAGGGACCACCCGCTGTAGATGTCTGACTGGCAAAATTTCACGCAATTCTACATGTAAAATCGGTAAGCACTCGGTTCGCAAATTACGTTCAGAGGTGCAAAGTACTCTCGGCCAGAAAACGCTGTTTGTGTGTCTGAGACATTAGTCTTTAGTTTTCTGGCTGACAGAATGATTGTCTGACACAAGCTGACCTGACTGTGTCTGTCTGATCTGACAGACCAGATTGAATGAAACACCACTGGTCACTAGGAAACTACAGTACACACATGGATCTGTCTGGACTAAAGCTCAGGAGGTACATACTGTCATGTAGGAGTGTCTCATATCCTGGTGAACTCTGGGGCATAGTGTGCACATACAATGTAGAAGGCTTTGAGGACATGGTCAAGAGCTTGGTCACTTGGTGAAGAGCTCAACTAAATAAACCCAATTCATAATTTCAGTGGTAGTATATCCTTCAATTGAATGTGCAATGTCTCATGACAGAAACAATACCTGTATTGTTTCCAAGCACGATTGGTTTTATGGTAACTGTGACTGGAATGATCTGAGAGGTGATTTGGGGTCAAAGGGTATTCCTGCTTTATGTAATCATGCTCACTATAAATCTGCAGTGATAGACACCCTAAGGCCCATCCATCCGCACCCAGATTAGGGAAGAGGATTATCCCAAAATGAGTTTGGCCAACCATGATTAGTGAATAATAAATTTTTAATATACTCTACAGAGTTAGCATTTTCGATTCAGGAAAAAACATATGGAGATTAATGGCAGCATTTAAAAGTAAAACATTAATCTAAGTAAAGGCCAGAGAATCAAAGGGAAGGTCGGAGGAGCATTTAATTTATTTGAACGGAACAGTGACTGATGATGGCGATATACTGAGAGACAAGAATCTATGAGTTGTATAACTAGAGTGCACACACACACATACTGTACAGCAGTACTCACCAGTTGAACTCATTGTAGTCGTTGTGTGCCTCCCACCAGAAGTAGAACCAGACCAGGAGCAGAGAGAAGGTGAAGAAGAGGATGAGAGACCACAGGAACTCCCACTGGGAAACAAACACACACAGGAACCATTATTACCTTTACCACAGTATCATTAGTCAGATACCATCAGATTAACATAAAGCACTTTGGCCAGTGTTGTGTTGAAACATTGGAATACTATTGGTACATTCATTACATTACTTTCTTTGATTGCAAGTGAGCAAAGGGCTGATGAGAAAGCCATTTGCCCACCCCAGACTGGCACACCACTTAACATTACCCCCATACGTCAACATCACAATAAACACTGACAACAGAAATGCAAGCAACAACAGTCTCCTAAAAGTCCGGCAGAGTCATCATTGGGCAATCCGCCCTAATCGAACCAAAGACTATAATCTGGATGTAGAGAGACTGATGACGGTGCAGCCCGGGCTGGCACACAGACGGATGGCTCAAACCTGGAGTCATGGCTAACATTTAAAACACCATTCGCTAGCTGCATCAGATTAAGGTGGTAAACCACAAACAAACGAGGAATTGGCTGGAGAACATGTCAGCACAATAACCCTCATGGTTTATAGTGAATTTATAAACTGGGTAGTTCGAGCCCTGAATGCTGATTGGCTGACAGCCGTGGAATATCAGACCATATACCACGGGTATGACAAAACATTTATTTTTACTGCTCTAATTACGTTGGTAACCAGTTTATAATAGCAATAAGGCCCCTCGAGGGTTTGTGGTATATGGCCAATATACCACGGCTAAGGGCTGTATCCAGGCACTCTATGTTGCGTCGTGCATAAGAACAGCCCATAGCCGTGGTATATTGACCATATACCACAACCCCTCGTGCCTTATTGCTTAAGTAATGTCAATTCTGTTCATAAATAATTTCACACTCCCACTTTGTGTAGGCATTCACTAAGCCTGCATTACCAAAGACAAGAGACAACATTCATGCCACTTTACAACTGATTGAAAAGAGAGAACCACATGTCTGGTATCAGCGGCATTAGAGGCAGTATGCAGTAACCATTCATGCAGAAACTGTCATAGGGCCATATTGTCTCAGTAAAAAAGCAGAGGGACTCAATAAAGATCCCATCCTCCCAATCCACTGTCCTCATTATCAAGTAATTACTCACATTAAACTTAATAGCTAATGAGGCCATGAGCCGATTAGTGGTCAGCTGTGTTTAGCCTTCCAATGCCACCGCAAGCTGTAATAAGAGCTCTAATAAAGAGATACAAGACAGAATGTTCACAAACAGACACGCACACGACTTGGATGACAAAGCACAAAAAGTGAGATTTTCAAACATCTCCAGCCAGTCAAGACCTTTGGCCCATCTATTAAAAAGTAAAACATCGCTCCTAGCTCAGACAGAATTAAAACAGTTAAGACCACTACATAAATAAAGAACAGAACTGACCAAAATCTTAATTATAATTAATTACACTTTAATTGATGTGATAACCCCTCATCCTACTGAGAATTGGACTATACACAGACAGCACGACTGGCTGCTCTTCACACCAGCCCACAAATTAGCCCACAATGAAATCAGGCTTACTCACAGAGCCCGGAGGACTGGAGTACGCTTAGATAGAAATGTATGAATAGAACTGACATGACTGTCTGTTTTGCAAAACAACAAGTTGTTCCAGCTCTATACATTACATTTCTATCTGCAATAATGTTCTTACATTGCACAATCCAGAATAAGCCCCAGTTGACCCTGTATTTAGCCATGCAGTGATAGGATATATCAAGGTGATATGAGAGCACAAACAAAGCTGTCTGGGCGTTCACCTTGGCTGACTGTTCCATGGAGGGCATCGGCTGGCAGTGGCACAGGACATAAGACAGGGCCAGGTCTAATGACTGGGTGGTGACAGCCCCTTGTATAACTTCTGCCCTCCACTCTGACTGTCTACCTGGGCACTGGAGAGGAGAGCCTAATGTGTTTGTGGAGTTGTGGACAGGCCACACAGCAGTTTAACTAGGGGACACTAAAGCACATGTTTGGGATGGTATGATGATCATTACGTAACAGGATGGAACACATTTGTTGATTTGGGGCAGGGAATGAGAATCTAGCAGTATGAGGGAAGGAAGCCTATGGGATTTGGCTGTGGCGATTCTTTTTAGCCAATCTCTTCCGGATGAGGAATTAAAGTTATGAAAACAACATTTATGTTAAAAATTATTATTATATAGACCAGAACCTTGATACTGTTTGACATCTAAGTTTGAACATTAGTCATGAAGATTAGATTTGTATTTTCTGGCCTAGAACATTTACTACTTCCTTCTATGAACGTACTAAGAAAATCGCTCCCTTTTATAAATCAAACTAATCCAGACTCCAGAATGGTTACCATAGGGTTAGTTTCACATGGCTACACTTCCCAGTCTCGTAGTCACTGCAATGTGAGAAAGCCAGACGTCAGGGTAACCATAGGGTTAACCCTGTGGTAGGTAGGTGGTCCCTGTGGTGTAGGTTGTGGTCTAACTGGCAGCCCTGCTCATTGAACCTTTGGGATCATTTTAAACAGGCTATTTGGGAGCTAATCGAGTTGCCAGGCCAGTTGTTTGAGTGTCAAATATTGAATGTGCATTTCAATCCTCCTATAATAAAACCTATAATTCCACATGTGTTTGGAGCATTATTAGGCTGGCTGCCACATTTATTCCTTCAATTAATATTCAGCCAAGCCAGCGTCATGTACAATATGTGCAACGTGTACACTATATGACTGAACATTAACCCTGTGTCATTGTTCTTCTCTGCTGCTGTTTAGGAGCTGATCAGAGCAGTCTGGCATGATACGGCCTGCCTGCCCTAAGATGACATCACATTCGCATTCTGCACGCCTTGCTTAGTTAGGGTGGAACACACGCCTTCAGGGCAGGGCTGACACCATAGCATTAAAAACTGCTTTCTAACTACTGTCAAAACAAGGAACCAACTCAGTGTATTGATCGTAATACATCTAGTAGTCATCATACAGTATGATGAACTTCCATTCAAAATGGGGGACATGAGGGATGCAACCTTGTTATATTTACCACAAGACATTTGTGTTAAATTGCGGTTAAATGGTCTACATCATCTACCAGTCAAGAGGGGTCAGAAAAAAAATTGTCAACGTATTTAATGGGTCTGAGGGGAAATAAAAGGTTTAGATTGTACTGAATGAGAGGTTTTCAAACCCAACAGAGCAGACTGATTCAGCCTTGTACTCTTCTAGTGGGAGCGGGGAGAGGAAATGACTTTCCTCTACCGGGGACAAAAAAAGAATTTATATTTTTTGAAATGCCATGAAAATTGCTGTGCTGCTTGGCTGAAGGGCACTAGGCAGGCAGGCAGGCAGCTGAATTAGGATGGAATACATCATAGCCGAAGCCTCATTGACCAACATAGAGGGATAAAAAGGACCAGGGGATAATTATCTTCTGTGGAACCCTAAACACTAGAATTACTGCAAAAGAAAATCAGACAGAGCAGTCTGGCTGTCACTCAGAACCAAAAATTAGGAGATTGCAGAAAATGTCATGCTTTCACTTAAATACCATATATTTGCATGTACAGCCGAACGCCATTTTCAAAATTGTTTAAATGAATAATTCAAAATGGTTAGAAAAGAGCTCTACTCATTACAGAAGCTTTCTTCTGATCAGTTTAGGTATAACGCCTTTAGTTTTGGTGAAGCAATATATATGTTTAGGTTTAAGGGCATCTTGCTGTGCTGTGCCCAAACTGGGGCTACTCCACAAAAAGGTGCTTGCATGCAATCCAATTCCCTTCGTACCTGCTAGCGCCAAGACTAGCAGGGTATTCTCCACTATTCTCCAGTGGCTCCATCTAAACAGCCAGCAGTGTAGTGTATTATGATTCTACTGGCTTGTCTCTCGTGGCGTCACCTCCTCTCGTTACCTCCCAGTGCCTGCTAGGAGTCTAGGCTACTATAGTGTCATTATGACTACAGATGGACCTACCAGCATTTGGCTGCATGGAAGACATTGATCAAGCACACCCACACCTAGCATGGCGCACAGCACAATCCACCTTCACTGCAGGTCAGCAAGCTAGAGAGTCCTCCCACGAGACAATCATAAAAATTATAATGAATGCTGCTAGACTAGAGATTCCACATCAGTGGCAGTCAGTGCGGTTTAAGATGAGGGAGGATTTTTTATTTATTTATGAGCATGGCCTTATTTCTATTACAGCATATTGGATGACTGTCATTCATATTCCATTCAACCAGTTTAACGTGGATAGGTTTAGGCTACGACATGATAATCACATGTTCCCTATACTCATCATGAGGTTGCTACAACCTAGCCTATGACTTCAACGTAATGTCTCTCTCCCCCTCTTGTTTGGCACATTCCAGATAATTATGTGATAATACACTTTGGACCGTAGTGTTAAGTGGTGATGTGCGTTTTAATACAGGACTGGACAGATGCACAGTTTTGATGTACAGAAGCTAACCAGAGCATTATACTATGAGATTGAGGAGTGTGTGAATTCTAGGAGGAATTGGTTCTCTAGGATAAAACGGTCGACACATTTATATGGATATTTGCAAGTGTGCCTTCTGGCAGGTGATAGCGTGTTTCCATGATGTGTGTATGTGATGAGTAATGGGTGGGTTAATCCTCACACCTTATCTTGCTTGCACAGCCTTGCCATGTGAAATAAGCATCATTCAAAGTGTTCAGTAAGTGCATTCAATAAGCGTCATGGAACCTACACAATTTGGGATTTTGTATTTGAAGGATTGGATACCATTTAGCCCGAGGACTGTTGATGTGAAAAAGTAGTATTTCTGTGGATCGAGTTTATAGTATGTACGTACGTGTGGAACAGTGGAGGCTCCTCAGAGGAGTTAGGGGAGGACCAAAATAAATCATTTTTAGATAAAACTATACAAAATATATACACGTCAAATACATTTATTAAAACACACTGTTTTGCAATGAAGGTCTACAGTAGCCTCCACAGCACTCTGTAGGGTAGCACCTTGGTGTAGCTGGAGGACAGCTAGCTTCTGTCCTCCTCTGGGTACATTGACTTCAATACAAAACCTAGGAGGCTCACCCCTTTCCATAGACTTACAGATGAATTATGAAAACTTCCGGAGGATATCCTCCAACCTATCAGAGCTCTTGCAGAATGAACTGACATGTTGTCCACCCAATCAAAGGATCAGAGAATGAATCTAGTACCGAAAGCATAAGCTACAGCTAGCTGAGTGAGTGAGTGAGATAGGGATAGGGCTAGAGAGAGTGCTAGCCACAGAGAGAGGGACACAGACCACAACACAGAGATAATGTGTCCTCCCCACCATCACCCACCCTTTCCTCAGGCAGTGGTCTGCCCCAGTCTCTCCCCCTGTCTCCTTGGTGTCCTGGCTGAGTGTCCTGGGCCAGACTAGCAGCTGGTGGGGTTGTCACTGAATGTCCCTCGCAGCCCTAATCCCTTCACAACTCCTGCTACTGTGGAAAATCATTAGTGTGTTTCCCCACCCAGCTCCACCTATCAGACCAACAGCATTACCCTGAAAAGACCAGGGTTAGAGGGTTCCAGCCCTCTGTTCCTCCAACCTCTCTCCAGTAATGACAGAACTGTCAGGAGCACCAGCTGGCCAACTGGCCGTGGCTTCACTTATTACAGAACAGAACGGCCTCTTCAGCTCTGTGGAGCTGCTGACCTCATAGCTACAAATAATATGATACAATGATGCCCTAGAGATTTTGCTCTTCCCTGTTCTTGGTCAGCTCTTGATATGAAACAGCATGTTGTGTTGTCCTTGGACGCTCATATCTGAAGTTCTGGAAAAGTTCAGGAAAACATTGGAGAACTTGGTAACCTCACGGCCTGGCTGAACTCTCTGAACACTAGCACAAGGGAGAGAATACGGCCTCTGATAAATCACATTGAATGTGGTAAGAGTCACACTACTGCTGAAAGTATGTTCTCTCTGGTTAGCCTTTTGGACATAACATCTACTAGAAGGTAGCCTACACTTCCACCAACCAATGAAAGCTATATGATTATGGTAAACAAAATGAAAAACAGTGCTTCAAACATTCTCTAGAAGTTTGTATCCTTCTTTTAAAAAGCACAAACCCATAGAATGTCTTTACACTAACAGTGCCAAGAGCTGGTGAAAAGTACTTAACTAACGAGAAACATCCAAATATGATTGGTGTCATATCAATCTTTCATTGCTTAGCTCCACACACACACACACACACACAAAGGACATGACAAGGCATTAGCCATTTGGTTGATGACAACAGAAAACCACCTAATAGGCTAGTCTATAAAGGAAAACACGGGGCTAGTTTGGCAGCCAGGCCTGGCTGTTGTTTATGTTGTTGGAAGGGCTGTACAGACTTTAATAACACGTCTACATGGAATAATTCCCCTCAAAACAGTCAGCAATTATAGTGTGTAAACAGTCCCCTCCTGCCACTGTGAAACGAGCGAACTCCCAGAGAATCTGGGTAGAGTAGACAGACAGCCGGAGAGGGATTAAAACTGACAGACAGAACACATTTCCCTTTGGAGAGAGACAGGATTCAGGAAGATTAGGCTATTCCCCTCCTCGCCCAATATTAATAGAGGACTTGTTTGAATGTCAGCACTACTGGAAGTGAGTGCAGACTGACTGAACGGTTCATACATATGATTATTGAACTATAGAGACGGGTAGACAAGGAGCTATTAGCACAAAGGTTACCAGTAAATTTCTTTTCAAAGACAACTGATCATGACCTCCACCAAAGGGTATTAATATACAGTTGAAGTCAGAAGTTTACATACACTCAATTAGTATTTGGTAGCATTGCCTTTAAATTGTTTAACTTGGGTCAAAAGTTTTGGGTAGCCTTCCACAAGCTTCTCACAATAAGTTGGGTGAATTTTGGCCCATTCCTCCTGACAGAGCTGGTGTAACCGAGTCAGGTTTGTAGGCCTCCATGCTCGCACACACATTTTCAGTTCTGCCCACACATTTTCTATAGGATTGAGGTCAGGGCTTTGTGATGGCCACTCCAATACCTTGACTTTGTTGTCCTTAAGCCCTTTTGCCACAACTTTGGAAGTATGCTTAGGGTCATTGTCCATTTGGAAGACCCATTTGCGACCAAGTTTTAACTTCCTGACTGATGTCTTGAGATGTTGCTTCAATATATCCACATAATTTTCCTTCCTCATGATGCCATCTATTTTGTGAAGTGCACCAGTCCCTCCTGCAGCAAAGCACCCCCACAGCATGATGCTACCACCCCCGTGCTTCACGGTTGGGATGGTGTTCTTTGGCTTGCAAGCTACACCCTTTTTCCTCCAAACATAACGATGGTCATTATGGCCAAACAGTTCTATTTTTGTTTCATCAGACCAGAGGACATTTCTCCAAAAAGTACGATCTTTGTCCCCATGTGCAGTTGCAAACCGTAGTCCGCTTTTTTTATGGCGGTTTTGGAGCAGTGGCTTCTTCCTTGCTGAGCGGCCTTTCAGGTTATGTCGATATAGGACTCATTTTACTGTGGATATAGATACTTTTGTACCTGTTTCCTCCAGCATCTTACATTTACATTTACATTTTAGTCATTTAGCAGACGCTCTTATCCAGAGCGACTTACAGTTAGTGAATACATTTTTATTTTATTTTATTTTTATACTGGCCCTCCGTGGGAATCGAACCCACAACCCTGGCGTTGCAAACGCCATGCTCTATCAACTGAGCTACATCCCTGCCGGCCATTCCCTCCCCTACCCTGGACGACGCTGGGCCAATTGTGCGCTGCCCATGAGTCTCCCGGTCGCGGCCGGCTGCGACAGAGCCTGGATTCGAACCAGGATCTCTAGTGGCACAGTTAGCACTGCGATGCAGTGCCTTAGACCACTGCGCCACTCAGGAGACTAGGTCTTCACAAGGTCCTTTGCTGTTGTTCTGGGATTGATTTGCACTTTTCGCACCAAAGTACGTTCATCTCTAGGAGACAGAACGCGTCTCCTTCCTGAGCGGTATGACGGCTGTGTGGTCCCATGGTGTTTATACTTGCATACTATTGTTTGTACAGATGAACGTGGTACCTTCAGGCGTTTGGAAATTGCTCCCAAGGATGAATCAGACTTGTGGAGGTCTACAGTTTTTTTTCTGAGGTCTTGGCTGATTTCTTTTGATTTTCCTATGATGTCAAGCAAAGAGGCACTGAGTTTGAAGGTAGGCCTTGAAATACATCCATAGGTACACCTCCAATTGACTCAAATTATGTCAATTAGCCTATCAGAAGCTTCTAAATCCATGACATCATTTTCTGGAATTTTCCAAGCTGTTTAAAGGCACAGTCAACTTAGTGTATGTAAACTTCTGACCCACTGGAATTGTGATACAGTGAATTATAAGTGAAATAATCTGTCTGTAAATAATTGTTGGAAAAATTACTTGTGTCATGCACAAAGTAGATGTCCTAACCGACTTGCCAAAACTATAGTTTGTTAACAAGAAACGTGTGGCGTGGTTGAAAAAAAAAAACTGTAATTGCTTGACTGAATGTCTTATATGAACGTAGTGCTTAAATCAAATGACTCAAACAAATTTAATTTCAAGTAATCAAATTACAATTAAAATACATTTCCATCATTAAAATTATCAGACATTAGAAAACCTAGGACTGTGATTTGTAGTTCCTCTAAAGCTTTACTAACAATCATGACAGACTATCACCATCGTCCCCTCATTCAGCTAACCTAGAGGCTGCTGGTTTAGTCATCTCACAGAAAAGATTCATCACACAGTGACACGCCATTGGCCTCTGCCAGCATTCTGAGGATGAGTGCTGGATATGCACCTGCATCCCAGAATGCTCCTGGGCCCACCAACACACTGTCAATGTACATCACTGTTTGTGTTCTAAGGTGCTCCTGGCCCTGTCCCACAGGAATATAGAGACATCCTCCTAAACGCTTGTTAACTTGTGTCTCAGTAACTTCTACAGCTCTGACAGCCTGTAAACATGCAGAGGTGTTGAAGCTTTTGACCTTTCATTCTGTAGGGAACTAAAAAGTTAATGGAAGACTTGAGAGGAAGACAGAAGAGAGTTAGCAAGGCAGGGGAGTGAAATTCATAATTTACATTCTGCTCAGAAAATGTTTCCTGCATGATGTTGGCTGAATGTTCTCTGCCATATTAGAATGTGCCACGCCTGGTTTTTTAGTCTAGTGCAGTCTTTAGTTGTGAAGTAAAACAGCGATGGTAGCGAGTGATTTGAAAACAGGATTTCTACTTCACATGTCCCTGTACGTCATTTGACAGACCAAGGCCACAGAATGATGCTCGTTCCTATTTCTAGACCCATTGTGCTCCAGGTAAAGACTGGCTAAATGGAAGAACTCAATTATTACAGAGGCCAGATCAGCTTGAAGTGCCAGTGACATGGGCAGCCTTTCTACAAACCACTCCAACACACACAGAGGCCAGGTTCACAAAGAGAGGGAGGCTCAGGCAAACTGGCCTGTTCATTATCCAGCTCTGAGAGGAGAGATGACAGCAACCACTTCTATTATTAGTTCTGTTCTGAATCTGGGCATTTTGAAGGGAGTCCATGTCTCAGCGAGACCTTGGGTTTCTCATGGTCACGGTTCAGTGATGCTGCCTGTCAGGTTCACACATCACATGTAACTGATACCAACACTGATTGGGCACTTACATCATTAAAGATGCATCTACAGTATGGACGTCATCTGACCTGGCAGTGCTGGCACACAAACAGGCAATCTCCCAATGTAAGATGACTCTAGGCCTCCATTACAAGGCAGCACAGCAGCCATAGTTAAAGGGATTTTGGCAATGAGTGACTGTGTGTCTGTTCTGCCATGAGGGACATAATTGTATTCAATGTTGGCCTGGATGTCAGTCCATGTCTGCAGAGACCCTTTGATGCTGTAGCCCTAGGGCCACGGCTGTTGGAGCTGCATAAACGGACATCCAATTTAACTGAATTTTTACTGTTATATTTCCGTCACTGAGTTTTTATTCATGCTTAGTTAGCAGCATTCAAATGTACAGTACTTCAATAATAGGCGTGGGCGGACCCAGAAAAATAAGCTACTGAAACATGGCATAGTTGGGGTGTGAGGTTGGGATGCAGATTCTGGCAGAGGAGTAGACTGGCAAAGACTCAGAGTAGCACCATGGAAGGTCCAATATAATCCTGTGGTACTGTGCACAGACAGGCTGCTGATTGGCCGATTCTCCCCCAGCGGGTCAAAGTGACCGCCACACATAGCCATGGTGGCCAAGGCTGCGCACACACACAGCTGACTCTGCAGTACCATATCTACCAGTCTCAGAGACAGGAAACAGAGCCACGGGATAGTATTCCCATCGAAGGATGAAAAAAATCCATATAATTTTGTTGTTTCTCTCTGTGCTGATTTTCTTTTAATGTGGCCTTGGTCAAGTCAAATACTAATGTGTTCCGTCTATCGGAAGGTTTAAAGAACTCATGCAGCATTCCCTTCCTGAGGGCAAATAGGGTAGGAAAGAAAGGTCAAAACATATAGCTCATCCATCCACCAGAGCCTGCAAGTAAAGCTCACAGGATGAGAGCTCATTCCTATAAATAGAAAAAGGGTAGTTGGACATATTTTCGTTTGAGGTGCACAGGAGTTGTATAATGACACTGCAACGCATGTTATGATGTGTCAAATTGTATGCAACACCGCTGAGGGAATGGTGCATTTTCCTTTTCTCTCTCCCCATATGGATCCTTCCAAGCCTTAGATCACATTTATATGCCATATAAAACATGTATGGTACGTCATATTTCACACACGTTTCAGCCCCCTCAGCTCTGTCTCCATGTCCCAGGCTAGCAAGGTGATGGACTATAGTGCTCCTGCCCTCATGCTCTCTCTGAGTTTCTTCTCATGCGGTACTAAATCACTGACAGACAGACCTGGGCTGCATAGCATTACAGAAAAACCCACTTAGACAAATAAAGGCTGCGATGAATGTGACCAAGGGGAGGCTCTGAATGCTTAATAAAAAAAATATCAAATACTACTATCTGCAGCACTTACAGGCTTAAACACAGTCACAAGGCCAAAGACACCTCCAGTGAGAGCCCAAGGACAGGTTATTAGGGAAGGGATGGGCTGCAAGGTTATCTGGTTAGAGAAAGGCCTACATGGCTCTTTATCAATACATCTTGAAAGATTTGGTTAGCAGGGGTACTCAACTCTTACCCTATGAGGTCCGGAGCCTGCTGGTTTTCTGTTCTACCTGATAATTATTTGCAAACACCTGGTGTCCAGGTCTAAATCAGTCCCTCATTAGAAGGGAACAATGAAAAAATGCAGTGGAACTGGCTTCGAGGTCCAGAGTTGAGTTTGAGGGGTGTAGGGTAATGGATGGCATAGGAGAGGAGTCCTGCCCACATGCACTGCACGCTCACACACGCCAAATTTGAGTGTTTTTAATTAATAGTGAGATATAAGATGCAGTGTGGTGCTGTAATCCTGCAGTGAACTGGCACGGAAAAAGAAAAAAAGTGGACTGCTACCAATCGATTACACTCGCTCCCTTCAACCAACAGACATTTGGGTTATAATAGATCTTCCAGAAATAACTGCCATAGAGAGACACCTGTACACCATGTCCATTATGGTCATTTAGGTACGAAAGTAAGGTCTGCTAGGCAGAACTCACCTTGGTGGTGTCATCATGTGACCGCTGGTACCGTTTCCAGCGGCACCCATAGATCCCTGTAAGACATGACAAACACAGCTGCCTCTCATAGACCTGCAGGGGTTGGTGCTTCACCATGCTCCTTCAGTCCTGGTACGCCTCCAGACCACTAACATCCCATTGACCAAACTGGAGCCTGCCTGGGAGAGGAACAAGGAAAAAGAAACATCAGTATTGCCTTCAATACATTCTGCAAGGAAATATTGTATCCATTAGGACATGAGACAGGTGTATGGATGATTGTTGTGGGTGTTTCACTGAGGTGACATTTGAATATCAAGTCAGCAAGACAGACGAAATTTGAATATCAACATGGCACATGCATATCTACGCACTTCAATACCAACATATGTCACTTAACTAGAAAGACATGAAAGTGGTCATTGAATTAGAATAAACAGATTGAACTATTAATTGCATATAATTACCTCACATTAATGAATTATGGCAGATTCATTTCACTACCCCCTTGGAGCAATAGGCCTACAATTGGAATATTGCTGAACTTCGATTCAACAATTCTCCCAGAATTTGAGAGCTTTCTTGATGGATATTTTAGTTACCTTTAGTTAAAAGTCTCCCATCAAAGTATAAAAACCATGTTCCAAAGTGTCATTGAAGTACCTCAGTAAAATAGAACACACAGTACCAGGGATGAGCTGGTCCATTTTTAGCCCAGTGGGCCTGTCTAACTTGGTTTTATTGCGCAAAATGATAATTATCTGGCTAGTAATGGAGGCCTCAAGGAAAATAATGGTCTGGAGTGGAGGCCTTAAGGCAAAAAAAATGGGCTGGTGTGTTAGAAATGCCAGGGACGATTTCTGGTCCCAGTCCGCCCCTGCACAGTACAATGAAAAGCACCTTCAGTGCTTTGATACCAAGCCAAGCCACAAATTAGAATTGCCATTGTCAAGTCCTGTTTTCAATGACAACTGTGGCTGCCTCCCGTGGCTTCCATCAATACAAGGTCAGAGCTAAATGACAATCTAACCATAATTGAAAGGACTGGGCGCACAGAGTGTCTTTGAACATTACATTAAACTACAATGACATTCAATCTGTTGAATATCCCTTTACTCTCAGAGGGTCACAGCCTGTCTGGGTTCTGCGGCAGAGTAGAGGGCACCAGGACTTTGTCAGCCTGGTTGTGTGTGTGTGTGTGTGTGTGTGTGTGTGGTGCCTACTGGGCAGGTGGGGCAGGAGCCAGCATTGGCCTGGGTCTACTCTGACTAATCCCAGATGAATTAGTCAGAGAATAAATTACTCAGGGAATGACTGAAAGGTCATGCTGGCTCAGCAGCAACTCATATCAGCTATAATAATAATAATAATAATAATAATAATAATAATAATAATAAATGATGATGATGATGATGATAAATGGCAATAACATTAAGCCAAGGCCTGGCTAGCTTAATACGTGTCACAGTCCAATAAGTGTCATGAAGGAGCATGCTGATCAAGTTAACTCTGAAAAAGGCATGCTGATTACAATCTGAAAGTGAAATAACCCAAGATGTTATCAAGAGGGTAAATAATTGACCTGTACCCAAGATGTGAGTTTACACCCCAAGTAAACATGGCATGGTGATTAATGAAATGATTACAAATGGAGATTAGAATGCAATATTATCAGCATGTTTCTCAATTGAAGATTTGCCTGACTTGCTAGTCCTCCCACTGCGCAGGTTTTAATTGCAGCTATCCTATGGGCCGTCTTTGTGGAGCAGCGCCGTGTTTCAGGAGGGATTTGAAATGCATGTTAATTACACCCATCAGCATGCAATCAGGGAGGCGTGCGCTCTGCTGCTCCGGACAGCTGTTTATTTGCATCGTCGGAGGGTACTGTGCTTCCTGTCATTAGTGGAACTGCCGTGAGGAGGGCAGGGTGCTCGTCAAGACCACCCTGTCACGCCCCAGCTGGCCCAGAGCGCCCTGTGGTGCAGCTCCGTGATCAGACCATTCAGGCTGAGCCCTGTGGTGGCGTTAGACTAGTCCTGGCTGAGGAGCTTCAGAGTGCTGTAGGGTTTAGATGAGGATCAGACACTGCTGCCTGCCCTGCCTCGCAGCAGCACGGCTATTTGATCATCTGTTTTTTGTCTAAATAAATCACATCAGAGGGGTGGATGGATGCATAACGCAAGCACAAACCATGGGCTTATAAAATCTGCTGTATAAACAAACTGCTGTCCAAAGTCTTCCCAACCTCCCAGGCTGTACTGCTTCCATCAGAATTGTTCTGCTCAGGGCTGTAACTAAGGGACTATATGCACTTTGTATCTAAGGAACTGGGGTACTAGTACTTCAAGGGTCTAGTGACGAATGGATATATTAAAAAAGGGAGTACTGCATAATTAAGTAGTTCTGGCTTCTATTCTGGGGCACTATCCTGTGTGTGTATTAATATGGAGAAGAAAGGACTTGGGAGGGTCTTAGTTCCATAGACAGGATGATGACACTGAACTAACCAACTTCAAATATGAGCTCAAGTAAAACATATACACATCTATTCTAGATAATAATAAAATAATAATATGCCATTTAGCAGACGCTTTTATCCAAAGAGACTTACAGTCATGCGTGCATACATTTTTGTGTATGGGTGGTCCCGGGGATCGAACCCACTACCTTGGCGTTACAAGCGCCGTGCTCTACCAGCTGAGCTACAGAGGACCACCCATCAATAGATCATCCTATTATGTAGTAGGGTTAATAAGCAGCCTGTAGTGAATATATTGGATCATGCCATTCTCTGATAATTATTTGTATTTAGGTTTCCAGTCCAGTCAGGTTTCCAGAGTAGAGATGGATCGTTACTGAATATCCATTGCCCAAAGAAGTGGATGGGTATTTTCAAATGGACCAATGGAAAGGCACGACCAATGACAATGGTTAGGCTACTCTTAGAATAGCTGTTCCAGTTTAGCATTAGTCACAAATACATTATAATACATAGAATGCAGGCAATTTGATTTTCACAGAAAGGTTGTTTGCATTAGATTTTAGCCATTTAGCAGACGCTCTTATTACAGGCGCAATTAGGGTTAAGTGCCTTGCTCAAGGGCATTAACAGATTTTTCACCTAGTTGGCTCAGAGATTCGAACCAGCAACCTTTTAGTTACTGGCCCAACACTCTTAACCGCTAGGCTATCTGAACAGGCAAAGAGAGAGATGAGTAAAGGTGTAGACCAGTGGTCACCAACTGGTCGATCGCGATCACCAAACATTTATGTAAAAAACCCAACAATAAAGCCTTGCATTCCTATTATTTTTTATTCGTTTCACGCTGTTGGCGTTAGGTGCACTTGATTTAGCAGCCCTAGCGCCGGGAAGGCAAAGTGTTCCCATTTTGAACCATTTCATGTGTCTGAAGGCAGAAGTCTGCCTACCCGGCAGGCCCAGAGAGAAAATAAAATGCACCTATAGGCCTAACGCTGGCCAATCAGATAGCTCAGATCACTGTGTCTGCGCAGTTTCTTCGAGCCATAGGCATAGACTGTAAAAAGAAGCCTCGAACGCACAGCAAAGTTGATACTGTGAGATTTCACAACTTTTAAAACCATGACTAGAGAGACAACAAATGCAGCAAAGAGCTGCTGTTTTTATGAGTAAGTTCATACTCAGCACTGTCAACACTTCGTTCAACACTTATAAGCCATAACATGTGTGTTCTCCCTATTTCCACTCACGCTACAACCAGCTGCAATGAATGAGTATAGCAAAGTGTTCCGATAAGCTTGCGTTATTATTAGCGGCTTGTCTTTTTATTTTTTTTATTTTTTTTATCATCGAGGAATATTTCACTTTCTATGGTCATAGGAGTAACACCATGAATAGGTGAATTTTTAATTGATTAATGTTGCATTGGCTTACATTTTTAAAGTCATGTTTAAAAAAAAATCTGAGTGGTAGACCTCAGCTTGCATTTTGACACAAAAAGTGATCTCGACTCAAAAAAGGTTGGTGACCACTGGTGTAGACAGTGCACAACACAGATGAAAGCTCACCCTGACATACAATGACCAGGGTTGGGGAGTAACTAATTACATGTAATCAGATTTTTTTATTTTTATAGATTGCCTTGGATCTTGCATAAAAAGTTACTGACCAAAGGATTAACAACATTTACATTTACGTCATTTAGCAGACGCTCTTATCCAGAGCGACTTACAAATTGGTGCATTCACCCTATAGCCAGTGGGATAACCACTTTACAATTATTATTATTATTTTTTTTGGGGGGGGGGGGGGGGGGTAGAAGGATTACTTTATCCTATCCCAGGTATTCCTTAAAGAGGTGGGGTTTCAAATGTCTCCGGAAGGTGGAGAGTGACTCCGCTGTCCTGGCGTCGTGAGGGAGCTTGTTCCACCATTGGGGTGCCAGAGCAGCGAACAGTTTTGACTGGGCTGAGCGGGAACTATGCTTCCGCAGAGGAAGGGGAGCCAGCAGGCCAGAGGTGGATGAACGCAATGCCCTCGTTTGGGTGTAGGGACTGATCAGAGCCTGAAGGTACGGAGGTGCCGTTCCCCTCACAGCTCCATAGGCAAGCACCATGGTCTTGTAACAGATGCGAGCTTCAACTGGAAGCCAGTGGAGTGTGCGGAGGAGCAGGGGTGACGTGAGAGAACTTGGGAAGGTTGAACACCAGACGGGCTGCGGCATTCTGGATGAGTTGTAGGGGTTTAATGGCACAGGCAGGGAGCCCAGCCAACAGCGAGTTGCAGTAATCCAGACGGGAGATGACAAGTGCCTGGATTAGGACCTGTGCCGCTTCCTGTGTAAGGCAGGGTCGTACTCTCCGAATGTTGTAGAGCATGAACCTGCAGGATCGGGTCACCGCCTTGATGTTAGCGGAGAACGACAGCTTGTACAACTGCTTGTATGAAGCGCTAGACAATATATGTCATCTAATGTCTGGGCATGCAGACTTCAAGATAAAGACAACAACATGAAAGATGTAGAAATAACTAATGTACATGAAAGCATTAATGACATTGTAACAACCACATACCACCATATCAATACCACACATCTTTACAACATTAAACATATTGACACGCGTTAACTCATGTCTTC